AATCAAAATATGGTCACCCTATTTTTATACTTATATTGTTTGATCAGACTTTACAAACGAATACACCAGCTACGCTTTTAGTGAACTGGTTGAAATCTGCTGCTAGTCAATTTCCCGCTAATTTTGTTTATACCACTTCGAAAATGTTTAATTTGACTTTTTTTATACGTATTATACAATTTTTGTTTGATCAGGCATTACAAAGGGCTAACCTTAAGGGTTTTAGGTGGACTTAAACGTTAGATCTAATTGTGAAATGATGACGCATCAATCCTAATAAGATGCTTGTTAGAGTCAGATGGTGTAGTTACGACATCTACCAGCAGAGGCTAACGGGATCAGCGGTTGAGGCTGCAGCCATTTTGGTGCTTTTTTCTTGACGTCAAACCTGTCAAATGCATAATCACCACAATAAGTTCAGACATTCTGTATTTTCCGCAATCTATGGGTATCTTAATCTTAATACACCACAATTACTTATAACAAGCTACGCCTTCATTTGTCAATTTAATTATCAAAAACAAACTCACAGGACCCCTCGCTTCACTCTCTACACCAGTATCCTGTTAGAGGATTAGATGTCTCTTCAACTCTTTTCTACATTCCCACCAATCACATTCGAGGACACTGTGGTGACACTGGCCTGTGGGTGCTGACAAGAGATATGCTTTAGGGGCTTACCTGAGATCAGTTTATGGTTTCCCTGAAAACGGCTGTGGTTTGTGTTTGCAAGGCAATAACCTGCCCTTGATCAGTTGCATTGGCCCTTCACTGGTTCAGCGCTTATCCTATCTTAATCTCATTATTGGATCTGCTGCCGTTTAGCTGCTCAGACCTGGCCTAGCAATGGGATTGGCTTCCAAAAGCAACAAGTTAGATGCGCTCACCCTTAAAAGTTAAAGAATCACAGTAACTGTGTCACTTGTAGCACTTAATTGGACCTGGAATAAATAGTTCACGTGCAGGATAAAGAGAGGCATCTTAAGCTAACAAAACTATGATGTAGCATGATATAGCTTTTTTGGATGCTACTTTCTGCTAATTTCTTTTGCTGTCAGCTCTGATTAGTTAGCCTAATTACATAAAAACCCAAATCTTACCAATTGGGTGTGAGAACGTGTTTTCTGTATGTTGCATACTTTTATTTGTAGCTTAGCTGCAGGGTTAATCTCAAGAGAGCGGAACTGATGACGCAGGCTATGCTTCAGTGTGTTTAAATACCATCTAAAACTGACACAGAGCTATACCGTAATTAACTATTATACTCAAAGCTCCTTCTAAATCATGTAGTTTACTTGGATCCACTCAATAAACTCTTTGATATTGGCTGATGATGTTATATTTCAGCTGTGTGTGCTAATAAAAACTTTAAAAAAATGGTTTAATGTTTTGCCATTTTTTACCTGGGAAAGTAAGCATAATCACAGAACACCTTCATGTCAAGTTTTACAAATAATTAAAAATGTAGACATTTTTTTATTTAGTCAAAACTTTGACTGCACCTGGAAAACAGCTAGCCTACTATTGTTTTTAAGTATAATCTTATGTGGGGGCACCGTCTTCAAGATTTAATCCCGTTTGCCCAGTCCTGCCTCAATCCTAATCCTCACAGACTGCTGAAGTCCGCTCTGGATGGTGTCAATCCCTACGGAATGCCCAACCACTGCTGAGCATTCAGGTAAGAAAACCCATATTTGATAATACCTGTTTTCCCCCCCCTGAATCATTAAAATTATGAATTTTGATATTGCTCTAGATCTAGAAGGGAGCAGTAATTTAGATCTGATTATGACAAATTGTATATATTAATCCTTTTTATCATAGGAAAATTTTAATTTCTAAACGTTTTCACAAGTGGACGTACTTTATATATCCCATTAGGTTTTAGCCTATATCAGGGCACAAAAAGGAAAGCCCAAAATGGCTAAACGCTAAGCTTTTAATGTTTGAAGCCATTAACATTGAGTGGAACAACACTGACTCTTCTTCCTGTAAAAAGCTGCCTGCAAATGTAGGGAAGGCTATTCCATGCAAAGTTACTTTATCTACAGTATTTATGCAACTCTTGCTAATTTCCTGACCAGTGATTTGTGATCAAAATTATCTTTAAAAAAATGGCTTGTACTTAGCACAATAGTAACATGAACTAACAAAACATTAGTTTTTCAACATTTATTAATTTTGCCCAATGTTAATTTCTAGACTACCATTACAACAATTGGGTCTGTAAGATTTTTCTTTGAGGAAGTTTCAAGTTATGCGCACCAATGCAAGGCACATTATGCTCACCAAGGCTGCATTTATTTGATCAAAGATACAGTAAAAGCAACAATATTGTGAAATATTTGTACAATTAAAAAAAAAAAGTTTTCTATTTGAATATATTTTTAAATGTAATTTATTCCTGAAGGCAAAGATGAATTTTCAACATCATTACTCCAGTCTTCAGTGTCACATTAACCTTAAAAATCATTCTAATATTCTGATTTGGTGTTTTAAGAAACATTTCTTATTGTTATTATGTTGAGATTGTGTTGTTTAATATTATTTTGGACACTGTAATACATTTTTCATGATTTTTGATTAATAGAAAGTTCATTTATTTGAAAAAGAAATCTTTTGTAACATTACAAGGGCCTTTAATGTCAATATAATGCATCTTTGCTAAATTAAAGTATTAATTTCTTCCCCATTTTTTAAACAGTAGTTTATATAAATACATTATTACATTCAATGCAAGCTTAATGTACATTCAAATAAGATGTAAAACCACAACTTGCAAGGTAATTGTAAAACATCAGCTATGCTATCCAATGCTAAGCTCTCACAGATGGTTAGCATCTTGGTCTTCTAGGCTATGGACTGTTCATTTTGCTTTGTGCAGAATATTTTTGTAGATGAAAGACAGATCGAGTCCATTTAGATGGAAAAAGTGAAGGTAAAGGAAGTGATTAACTGCCTTTGCTTGACTCCCTCACCCCTTGCAGTGCAACTGCTGACTGCTAATCGTTTTAATGGCTGCCATAATGGGCCTGAACAATCTTACAAAATATCTTGGTTGCTTCGATTATGAGGTACAACTGTGTCCAAATCTGTCTGAGAATTTTAGAGTGAGTCTGTCATGAGAATTAGTCTGAAAAACTACATTCATTGTTCATTAACAAGCTCATCAAACCTGTTATGTTTGCAATGGATGTGAAAAAGAAACATGACATCATTCTATTTCTAAACTGGTTGTGGGGTTTCCCTGTAAAGATGCTCTATAGGTTTGGATAAATAGGAACTTCATTGGGCTTTCCCTAAAGATGAAATCCTTGTCCTAGAAACAAATCTCTTTGAACATTATGGACTGAAGCATATGAAGCTAGCAAGCATTAGCTGTCAGCGAGGGTCCTGGGTTTTAGGTTAAGCTTGACGAGGATGAAACATAATTAAATGAAACTTGTTTCAGGTTAAGATCTATACTTACTACACGATGATTCAAATGCCATTATTCCATAGTCTATTCTATCATTACAGACACTGTATGTGTTTAAGAGATATTTCTTGATTTAATAGTTTTATCCCCTTCTCTCAGGATGTTTAACTGGGTGGTGAAGGTCGTGCCACATCCTCCTGATACACAGGACGATCTGAAGGACGAGCCAATTACAACGGTAAACCAAAGCCTGCGCTCATAAAACACACCTCACTAATATTTGTGACTGAATTTCACAGTAACAGTGCGGTAGTTAGAGACCCCTGGCTTAGCGGTTAGCACATATGTTCTGACATATTGTATTGACCCATGGTGCTCAATCATGTCAGTAATGCAGGTTAAAATCTGGCTCGCTAAATTTTATGATGCCATTCCCTCTTCTTTACCCTATCATTTTTTGTCTTCCTTTTCTCTTAAAAAATGTCAAAATGGCCAATTCTAACTTAACCCCCTCACGTAAAAAATAGGGCTGTCAAACGATTAATTGCGATTAATCGCATCCAAAATAAAAGTTTGTGTTTACATAATATATGTGGGCGCACTGTGTATAATTTTATATATATATATATATATAATATATATATATATCTAAAATAAAATATGTATAAATACACACACATATACATGTATATTTAAGTAAAAAATATTATTTATAAATAAATATTTATATATATCATATAAATTATATATAAATCTATATACAGTATATATACATGAAAATATTTCTATTTTCTATTTATATAAATATAACTATTTTATATATAAATAATATTTTTTTCTTAAATATACATGTATGTGTGTTATATATATACACATACATATATATATATATATATATATATATACAAAATAATTATACACAGTGCACCCACATATATTATGTAAACACAAACTTTAATTTTGGATTTGATTAATCACGATTAATCATTTGACAGCCTTAGTAAAAATAAAAAAAAATAAATAAGTCATGTTCTCTCATGTATTAAATCTCTGATTCTCTAATTTCTTATCTTATTTTCTATGAAGAATGGGAAAACATCAAATCAAGGTACATTCACAGCACCCTTAAATGTATTACAAATGTTTTTTTGGGGGGGGAATAATGTAAAATTTAATACTCTAAAATCAATTAAAATGGTATACTAATGCACAATGAGCCTCTTTCTATTTTCTTCTCATGCAGATAAGTTCAATTCATACAAAACAGGCAGGGAGGAAGACCAATCATCCCAAACCTCACAGGGGAGGTGAGTCTTGACTGATCTTATCCATAAAATAAGACACTCTGTGAATGTTTGAACCTGAAACCTGCTTCTCTGTTTCAGTGTTCAGAATGGCATGTTGAACTGGCTTTCCAATGGTTTTGCGAGTGCGCTGCCACAACCTGCAGGGAGTCCTCATCTTACGAGAGCCAACTCTGATGCTAAAGTATTGATTTCATTTCAAATAATTGATATTTAACACCATTTAGTATTGGATATAGTGTGCATTCAAAGCAAATTTTTTCTTTGGAAATGAACTCTTCTTTGAACCATGTTTCAGTCACTGCAGGAGGAAGGCGCTGCTGACAGGTAAAGCAATGAACAATATTCTTACCAGCAATATCAGTGAAGAATCCTTGTGCATCAAGTGTCCATACAGTGAGTGCTCTCTGTCTGCCAGGGCTAGAGTTATTGGCTGGATCTCGCAGGGAATTGGAAAGGTGGTCCCACAGCCTGATGAGAAATACATAGAGAAAGAGACTCCAGAATCTGAAGAAGTCACAGAGGTGCAAGACTTTTCATTTTATTTTTCCATTTACTTTAGATCTATGATGTACACCGTAAAAAATTTTTTAAGTACAATAAACTTGGATATTTAAGTCATTTCAAATTATATTACATTAAAATATCTTTAAAAATTAGTTTAATTTTGTAAATTGCTTAACTTATTTTGACGACATAAAGCAATGTAGAAATATACTGTCTTAACTTATTGATAAAAGAAATGTTTACAGTGTAGACACATAACTAAAAGCTTAGATAAAATGTAGCAAAAATAATGATTCATTTATGTTTCTCGAATTGATGTTTATTGAGAACTGTGGCGAGCGGTGCGAGGCCGAGGGCCGTGAGAGAACGGCTCAAGGCTGGTGGCGTGATTGATAAATTTCAATCTTGAATTGAAATGAAAAAAACCTGCGCGACGCACCGGTCTCGTATCTCTCACGGAGGAGCGGAAGCATAAAGGAGGAGCGATGACAGTGGAGATCGAGACACTCGCGCAGGTGTCAATCACGCCAATCACTCGTCCCGCTCGCCACAAGAACATATGAAGAGTTCAGATGCAAAAGCCTCTAAATGCCATTTGAAATTTTCTTCTAGAATGATCATTTTTATCAAGCTTGTATATTTAAGTTCAGTGATTTCACTTAAATGGCAATGATAATTACCTGTTAATTGTTATTTAAGTGAAATTACTGAACTTAAATATACAAGTTTGACAAAAATCATCATTAAAGAAGAAAATTTCAAATGGCATTTAGAGGCTTTTGCATCTGAACTCTTCATATTCAAAACGTAAATAGAAAATCCTAATACAATTGTTGTTATTATTAGTCATTTGTAAACAAAATCGATTTAATAATAAATAAAATAAAATAAGATTGAATTCTTGCAAATCAAAATTAATAATGTTCTGCTGTTTCTTTTTGTCTTATTTTCTGTTTTAATTTTCTTTTTCTGTTTACCTTAGGTTTATGTAGCCAAGGACCTCCCAGGTGTGTATCAGACAGTTTACATTATGGAAAACAGCAAAAGTATGAGTTATATGAATAAGCTCTATGGTTGAATTAGTATCAGTGAGTTCATGCTTGTGTATCTCCCCATCAGATGAAGAGCCTTTGCCACACATACCAGTAGTAGAGCTAGTGTCAGAAGACGAGGTGTCTGAGGTGGAAATCCCTGCTCAGTTCCCTCCCAAGTGAGTGTCATTCTGTAAAGCACATGGGAAAATGGTGACATATGGTGCCTTAATTTTTTGTTTGTTTTTTGCTAAGACAAGCATCATTATTACATTCAAAATCACATGTTAGGAATATCACAGAGACTTAAAGTCAGAATGAAATGGTAGTTCCGATGGTCTTTCCCTCCATATATGCGAGTGAAACAGCTTGTCGAATAAGAAAAAAATGTAGGACAGGACTTGATTTTGTCCATTGTCAATTGATTGGATGGTTGAGGTTTCCTATTGGTCGATCTCATGTGAGTGACAGGTTGTGCTCTGCCCTAATTAAAGGTTACGAGGGCACATTATTTTAAAAAAAATGTGTCAATTTTGATTTCACAGTGACTTTAAACCTCTTGCAAAGTTCTTTTAAGAAATATTATGGCTTATTTTAATGTGTGACCAGTGTAATGAGCTGGATAAAGAGCGGCTTTCAGAATGCTATACCGCACCATGTGACCAGACCCCCAAATTCCAATTCTTCAACACCGAGGTCATCACAATGCTCAAACAAAGGTATTGTTCAAACTGTATCATCTGAAAAAAGCTGGATTTTTAAAGGCTGTAACTGTTAGGTTCATGTTTGGTAAAAAACAAAACACAATTTCTCAAATCAACAGTATATTCACCTCCTCCAGAGTCAGTAACCAGCATGACGGAGATTGATCCAAAAACTCCCAGGTGAGTCATGTCAAATTTGATTCATTCTTTTGCAAGTGATTACAGGCATATCGGCATAGATTTGATCCACTTGATGTCCCATGCGGTCTTGTTTTCAGTATGGTGGGCTGGATTGTTCAGGGCCTGGGACTTTCAATGCCACAGCTGGTGCTTAGAAACAAAGAATGTTTGGTAAGTAAGGGGCAATGCTTTGACGTTATTACTTTGGTTTTAATAGTTCTTTCTCCCCATTGACTCTCTTTCTTTCCACCAGGAGGACGAGAGGATTGTGCAAAATGGTGAGTAAGACGTTCCTCCTTCAACACTGTTTACGCTGTGTTTTTTTAAGCTCCTTCAACACTGTTTTTGTTAATGGGATACTTCACCTCAGGAAAGATGAATGTATATTTAAAATGGGTCATTTATGTAGAAGAAAGGTGAAATTATTTTTGAATTTGGATTGAGAAAAGCCAGAAAATGTATTCTTTGCTTATGTGGATGAAAGACAACAACTCCCAGAATGCACTTGCTTCACTACCGTAGGATGCCACGCCTACCGGTAACAGAGCGTAGTAGTAAAACAACAAGTCTAGGCTACTAGTGAGTCTCCGTGAGGAGTCTGCCCGAAAATGTGTTTCGAGATCACCCAAGATGTCGAGATGGTCCTCACTGAAGAACACGAAATCCAGGAGGAGGAGTTGGATCTGGATCCAACTCTGCCCCCTGGATCTTGTGAATTTCAATGAGGTGCTACTGAAAATGTCCAGGATTTGGCTTTTGCATTCTACAGTCGCCATTCATCATATTTACTGTGGCGAGTAGGACGAGGCTAGGACCGTGTGGAGAACGGCACGAGGCCGGTGGCGTGATTACCGATGGTAAAAAAAAGAGGATGGTAACCCCTACTACTCAGCTTTCTACAGAGAACAAGAGCCTGCTAGCTTAGCTTCCAAAAAAGATGGCTGACACTATGTGTGCATTCTGCGAGTGAGATCCCACCCTCTATGGGCGGGTTGAAAACATGCGGGACAGCCTCTACTACTGACTGTATTGTTAAGCCTCTGGCCAAAAAATCATGGCGATTTTTGCGTCATCTGAGGATTTTTTTCAGACAAAAAAATACATAAATCTCAGGGGGATATGAGGGTGGAAAGCATGGTAATTCGAAAATACAACAGGTTTTCTACTAATACAAAGCTTAATGCTAAATCCTGAAGTATCCCTTTAACAAACTCAGCTTGTTTCCTGGAAACTCTAGTGTGGTTTCAGTAGAATATGAAAATGTGTAAAGATCATTGCATGCGGAACAACATGACCCACTCTGTGAGACATCAGAATATAAGTAGCAAGACTTCAGGGTAGCGATTCTGTTACAGTGTAGGACAAACTCATAACTCAGTCCATCTTCTCCTTCTGTTACAGGGGGGAGGACACTGAGAACCCCTTAAACAAAAGGAGAGAGAGCACGCAACAGCATTACACAGTCACAGACAAATGGACAGTGGAGACAGATGCATTTAAATAGTGGCTTTGTAGCTCTTTTGAATGACCAGGCAGCTATCTACTGAATGTAATGCTTGATATTCTCTGTACTTTATAACTAACTAAGATGTTTTTAGACTCTGAATATTGTATGAATGCCTGGCATCTCTCAGATGGGTGTTAGTTGTTGCTGCAGTGATCTTTGTGAATTGACATTTAGATTGACTGTACAAGTCTTAAAACATTTGTAATCCTTATGAGATGTAATTATTCATTTTACTGCATGTTTCATTAGTTGACTAGTATGTTTTTTATATGTTTTTTTTTTCTTTTATTGAATTGCCTTGTATTTGTGGCTGCTTTTAAGTTATATAATAAAGTTTAGGGTTGGTAAGATTGTTTTTAATGTTTTTGGAAGAAGTCTCTTCTGCTCACCAAGGTTTCATTTATTCGATAAAAAAAGTTAAACAGTAATACTGTGAAATACTGTGACAATTTATCAATATATTTTAAATGATTTCTTTAAAGGAAAAAATACATTTTTAGTGATACATGATGCTTCAGAAATCATTCTAATATTCTGCTACGAAAATATTTCTTATTATTGTCAATGTTGAAAACATTGTGCTGATTAATATTTTTGTGGAAACCATGGAATCAGAATTCATTGATGAGTATGAAGTTATGAATACAAAGGAACATCATTTATATGAATGAGAAATCTTTTGTAACATAAACATTTTTAAGTCATTTTGATCAATTTAATGTATCATTGCTAAATAAAAGTATTTCTTAAAATAAAAACATCTTACTGACCCCAAACTTTTGAACAGTATTGCACACTTCGTTTTTATTTATTGTCATTTAATCTTTATGTATTTAATGTATAGTAATATTTGATGTCAATACTTATTAATACATTGCATTAATAACGGAAAATGCATGATTGCACACGTGTAAAGGGTTCAGTCTCTATTGGTTAAAATAATATATAAAAATTAAATTACATGGAAAACGCATGCAAATAACTTTGCTCTCAACCAAAGTAATTAACCATAAGTAATAAAATAAATAATAACATATTTAAGAGGAACGATTGAACTCATTTTATAGGGGCCTTATTTAATCTTACAGATGTTTCCTATTTTCTAAGCACTAAAATGCCAATGTATCCAATGAAGTAGGCCTAAAGGAAAAACAAACCAGGCTAATTATTGACTTGAATGACCCGTTCAAAAATGCCTTATCACACTAAATTTAAACGAACAAAACCTAGCACAGTAATGGAAATCATCCCCCACAGAATCATGTGATGACATTTTAAGTTGTAAAAGCAGTCTTCAAGCATGGTTGTGTCCTCAGCAGGCAGTGCTCGATCAGTTCCTGCAGATCTCATTCTTGAGGAGATTGACTCTGAAGATGAGGCTCAAGCAAAGGAAACATGTCCAGCAGCGAACTCACCTCCATATTCACATCATCAGTCCCATCCACAGACGCCTTGGTCACCGGAACAATCTCTTCCACTCTCACAAGCAAACATAGAGCTGGAGGACGCAGAGACCCAAACTGCCCGATGGACGCCCATGATCGAGAGCATCAGGAGGGAGGCGGAGGACACCGCCATATTGATCATGGAGGAACGGTAATAACTAAAAGCACACTGGCAGCATGATGATAGAATAATTGAAGTAACTTTAGATACAGGCTTACTTGTGGTGCTGTTCTCTGGTGCAGGTTGATACAGGAGCGTCTAGCAATGGCCCGCATGGCAGAAGAAGTGGCACGGCACACAGCAGAGATGGCTGTCAGGGAGTTAACACAGGCCCGGCACGGCATTCAGACCATTGCGGAAGAGCCTGAAGATGTTGATCAAGATGTTGATCAAGAGTAATTCATGCAAACTCATGCACAATATAACAAGAAATCGATCAGACCTATACTCTTTTTGTGTATGACAAACATATACAGTATACTGTATGTGCATATAAATATAGCAAAATGGTATAGTATCAAGTGGGCCAAACATTTTATTTTATATAAAGTTTAAAATATTTAAATATTTTATTATAATAATTCATTTATTTATTATACATACATATTTATTTATTATATAATAATTAATTTGTTAAATTAAATAAATTAAATAAATGTATTCATTTAACTTTTTATTATAATTTGAAAAGTGGCATTTATCTGAAAGAATTATAGCACAGATTAACTTTTCAAGTAAAACATTTCTCAAAAAGAAACTTGTTAGGTTTCAGAATATAAAAATATATATTTAAATATTTTTGCTGTCAAATAGATTAATAAGTTAAGTAATTTATCACATCAAACACAACAGTTTGTATATATATATATATATTAAAATATGTGTGTGTTTGTGTATCTAAAAAAAACACACACACACACACACACAAATTATCAATGAAATTCATGCACTTTTGCACGTCTGCAATGAAATTCATGCACTTTTCAGTGTGAATTTTTAGGGCTACTGTGTGTCAGGGTCCCAATATTCATACTAGCAGTCCATTAGTATGGTCTTTAAATTACCGATTCTTAAAATTCTACATTTTGTCAACATAGGCTTGAAATATTCTGTAACATATAGGCCTAGAGGCTATCTAATAACTTGAATGTTTCTGTGTCACAGACTACAAGTGTTGCAGGAAGAGGACAGTGATATAGAAGTCCCACGGAGTCAAATTGCAGAGTAAGACATCTGAAAATAGTACAATATCATGGTGAACAAGCTGGGATGTCTCTTTAAGCTTAGAAGAATCATTTTTATATAGTTTCTATCAAATATTGTCATTCTTTCATTGCTGTGTTTTGCCATTGGCCTGTGTTTGCAATACAAAATTGAACTGAAAGTGGCTTCTGCATTTATATTAATATGGCCACACACAGAATTACACTTAATTACAATACACGCATTTCCTAGCAACCACATTGCATCCCATATTAGAGGCTCGCGGTTCCTTCTCTTAGGTTGTTATAGTTACTAATCCCGCCTCAGATGCTTGTTTTCTGCCTCGTCGCAGTGATGGATGGCGCAGGTTCTTTACTTCCAGAATGAACATTTATCTCGTTCTAATAAATCGCGTAAATATATAACATCTGTATCACGCTCATTTATAAACAAACGCCACAAAAATGGACGGATAAGATTGAACACTGCATCACCTGAAGCGCTCAGAGACCGGGTCTGATTTCAAAGTAAGTTAATTAACGTATAATACAACGACGGTGACGCGTGAAGCTAGCTTTAAGCTTTCGGTTTTAATATTTTATAAATGTTTAAAATAAATGACCATCCTATTAAAGGAGGTTTTTGGAAAACAAAACAGACACATCTCGCCTCGTGCTGTTCCATCATGCAAAAATTGTGCTTATGCGAGTTTATTTATAGCTGACACCGATGTGTTAGTTGCTTGCTTACATATGTGATTAGCCTGTTGTTTATGTAACGTTAATAGCTGATTCATGCGTCATGCTGTTTCTATCCACAGGTGTCAAGTACCTTTAGTTAAGGAGTTTGTTCCAGAAGGACGGGAGGCAGAAGCTGTAAACACTGCGTTTGCAGTTGAAACCCCTGTGGAGGAGTTTAAGTCCTCTTCACCTCTTCAGGAGGAACCAGAGCCTGAACCTGAACCTGTAGCACCTGAACCTGTACCTAAACCTGAAGAGCTTCATGAAGAGGAGGAGCCCAGAGACTCCAGTGTAGCTGAAGAAGAACCTGACCCGATTACTCAGCAGCCTCAGTCCATTTCCAGCACCTCCGTTTCACAAACTAATTCACCGGTAATATATTTTTACTGTCCATCTAACTTTAAACTTTAAGTGTTCTTACGTTGGGCTTTATATGCCATTTTAAATAGATTGTTTTACCTCTGTGTAAATGGATTTTCACAGATATTATTATCCATTGTTTACACCAAGTACATACCGTACTGTAAAACCCTCTCTGAAGTTACACTGATTTACGCTGTAATCATAAGCACCGTATAGCAGTGATCATATTTTCTTTTTGTAATAGTGCTGCTTTTTTTTTCTTTGTTACAGTGTTTGAAATAAATGTCTCACAATTCTGTAATTTTGCTTTATGTAGGTGGAGAGTACATTTACTGAAGAGGAAAGTAGTGGTGAGTCTTTATCAGTCACTCGAAAATTTCTTTCGCAAACACCTTAAACACATATTCTTCTAAATATCAGAAAATCGGCTGAATGGATTCGAAAACAGTAAAATATAACTGTTTAACTCTGGGGGGGTTGTAAAATGAGCCTATTTCCAAAAAAATTGGAGTATAATTTTCAGCTAATTTCAATGCAATTTTTCCTTGTAAAGTAAGCTTAAAACTTGTTAAACAAATTGTGTATAATAATAATAGTAGTCTTTAAATAATTAAATAATAAATATTAAATAATTTGTGTAAAAATAACAATTGTTTAAAATTTTCATTTATAAAAAAAAAAAGTTACATTTTCATAATTCTCAGTTTTGGGTCCAGTAAAAGAATCCTTACTCTTGCATTCTAGTATATATCTAGATTTAATATTTTGTTAATCAACATATTTATTTTTGTGAATTTATTATGATTAAAAAGTGTGCTTGTGTTATTTTTTTAATAATAAATATTAATGTGCTTGTGAAATTTTATTTGTAAAATAAAATAAATGCCATTTGGTTTGATCATTTATTTTATCTAATGCAATACTTTTTGGGGCCAATGTAATTGGCATTTCCCGACGTTATTCTATATGACTGAGCATCAAAAATTGTAAACAAATCATGCAACATACAATATAATTGAATATGTGCTGCTCTCCCCACAGTCCCTTCCAGATGTGATGCGCTGAAGAGCTGTTCCATGCGTGTACCATATGCATCACAAGCCCTCAACGAATTCAACCAGTTCCTGATAGACATTGACGTCACCCTGCCCAAAGTGCCTTCCATGCCCAATCTGCCCCCTGCTTTGTCTCAGATCACCCAACAGCTGCCGCCGCTCCCTCCTCAACTGGCACAGCTTCCGCAACAAATCTCTCAGCTACCCCAACAACTTTCCCAGCGATTCTCCAAAATCGCCCCACAATTCCCCAACCAGACGGTTTTTAGTGCTCCTCAGTTTCCCAGCTTCCCTGTGCAGTTATCCAGTCTCCCACAACAGCTGTCCAACATTCCGCAACAAATATCAAACCTCCCGCAAAAGTTGTCCAACTTTCCACAAAGGTTCACCAGCATTCCACGGTTTTCCATCCTTCCGCAACAGATCTCCAACATTCCACAACAACTCTCCAGCATTCCACAAAAAATATCCAGCATTCCACAAAAGATAAGCAACATTCCACAGTGTGCCCAGCAGTGTTACACTAACATTCAGAGCCGTCTCAACAAACTTAAGCCGGAACAGGATGCCCAAGGAGCAGCCGCTGAAGAGTAGGGATCTGGAGTTGGACCACCTTGTCCGCCAGTCCCCGCTTAATTCCCCCCGTACCCCTTCGCCCTCTTCCCCAAGCTCCATCCTAGACCTGCCCAATGTGCCCTCTTACCCCCGTCTGCCACCCATCACCCCTTCCAGGCAGTTGTCAGGCGTCTCCAACCCTGCCTTCCACATTGAGGATGACCCCACCTCTGCTAGACCCTCAGGTGATCCACATTGTTGCCTTTTTCTATTAGATTAGTCTGTGCTATACTTTGCTGTACTATGCCTTGCTGCTAAGTGTGACTTAGAGAACATTAGATTGTGGGTGCCTGTAGTAAACAAAGTGACCTCTTCATGTACCAATCACTGATCTCATACTCTAAGGCCGGTTACCTCAAGGTAAGTCTTGAAGAGGATGTTACTGAAAACACTGCTTTTAGTGTTAAGGTTTCTTTTATGTATAATCTTTTGTCTTCAGTGAGCTCCAGACTGAGTGTGCACCCAGCCGTGAATGTGGAAGATGTTGATTCTGACCGAGGGAGATCTCGCCCTATACCCCCTATAATAAACCCACAGGATCCCAACCTCAAAACCCTTACTGTGCCTGGTGTCCGTAAAGCCAATCGAACCAGGTAAATCTGCCTTGTTTTCATTAATCACACTGAATGTAGAAAAGGAGTGGTTTTATGCAAAGTTTTGCAGGCAAAAAAGCGAATTCATGTGACTTAGACCAAAAACAGGAAGAAAATGGACTTGGACAAAAACTACGATAAAACCTGTTGAAAAGCATATTTTGCAGCGATTTTTGTGTGAGCATATCAGTGAACACCCCAGACCACTCGGTGAGTTTCACGTCTTTGTAAACTAGTTTTATGCGTTTTAATGAATGATTGTTCGAGTGCACCTATGCTTTCATTATAAAGGTGGGGGGGGTGCTAACACAGAATCCAAAAATTATCGTGACAGGAGCATCTGTCTAAAAAACAATCTTAACCATTCTATTTCATCAGGGACGATCTTAAAACAGGGCTTTAATTGTAAAATACCGAACTTGTCCTTTAACATTCTTAGAATCGTAGATGTCATAAATATGCTAATTAAAAGGTTAATTCAGGGTTTAAAATGTACAATGTGAAAATCTATAAACCCTCAGCATAAAATGTGAAACATGGTTGACAATATCATTGATTTCACAAATTCAACTGTGAAAAGCCCGATTGAAATCCAAATATACATTTCATGTTTTGTTTCTTTTCTGTTCTGTTGTCTGCACACACACTTACTTACACACATACACACACTTATTTTTCTGGATGCTAACGGTGTATGCAGAGACAGAAAACCACAGACAATTTGGACCAAGATGTAAGAATCACTAAGTCTATTTCAGGACTCATCTCAATCTACTCCATATTCCCCACTTTATTCTGTACATTTGTGTGCGTATTTGAGTTTGTGAAGACTACTCATCATTTCCTTACTTATCATATCCAAATGTCATTTGTTTAAAGCATTTATTGTTACTTGTTGCTCTTTAATATATAATTCCAGTCCTGTATAAGTCCATCATAACTTTCTCTCAACTCTCTGTTACAGCAAGAGACTTTACTCACAAGATGATGAGGAAGAGGAGGAGTTAGAAACCTCAGTCCGGGCCTGGCCAAGCCAGAGTAGCATCTCAAGTGGAGATGACGGGTAACAAATAAACTCATAAAATCTGAAATTAAAATGAATGCACCTTAATTAAATACTTTTATAATAAAAAAAATAAAAAAAACACATCATGGATATACTGTAGGTTGGTTGCAAATTATGCATGTTCTATAATGTGCTTTGAGAAACCTAGCAACAACATATACAAATATGTAATTATCTAATTATTTAAATGTTAAATTTACTAATTATGTTCTGTCTTAAGGCTTAATCAACGGCCATCCTCTTCTGCCAGCCAGACAAGCACCGTAGTAAACGAGAGATTACAGGAGCTGGTCAAGCTGTTCAAAGAGAGAACAGAGCGGGTCAAAGAGAAACTGATCGATCCAGACAATTCAGACGATGAGACACCGCCTGGCTGTGAGTTAAGCCCAACATAACACACCAATGGCATTTGCAGCAGAAGCACACTTTTCAAGCTAATTGTTTGCCAGACAGGCAATAGATATAGTAAGGCAATCGTATTTTATTTGTGATTACGATTTCTGCTTCTTTTAATGAAATAAGCATAATCATGTGCGATATTGGCTCGCTGGTTATTTATCCTCACAAAAAAGTTTCAATTTAAAAGTAATTGGATGCTGTAGCATCATTTGTTTGCAGGTGCCACTTTATTAGATTTTTAATGTAATAAATGAAATGAAATGAATACTTTTTAAGTGACTTCAGTGTCCAAATATCTAAGTCTACATAGCAAATAATATGGTCTTTTATGAACAGCCCCAGCTAAGCAAGCTCCAGCTCCTCCTCCGGAACCTCCAGCAGAGCAGAAAACCGAGCAGGAGGTGCCCGAGGCCCCCGCCAAGAAAGAAGATGAGAAAACGAAGCTCCTGTGCTGCAAAATAAAACCTCAGTCCAGGATTGCTCGGCTTCTGCAGTATCGTTTTCCAACAAGCATCGACCCCTTCACTAGTGAGCACTACTTCTCATGGACTCATTTAGACTTTCCTACAGCTGTCTCGACATTCCATTACTTGCACATAAATCCATAAATCCGATCAGTTACTGATTTTCCTTCATTCTTTGTTCGGTTCTCACACCGTTTTCCCTAACTGCACATTCCTCTCTCTTTTTAAAACATTAATAGCATTTGGTAACTAGGAATAAGGTTTATGAACTATATTTTTTGCATAATTTACATTTGGTGCACATTGATGGTTTAATTAATTGAGTCATACTAATTGTAAATTTTTTTTTTTTTTTAATTTAAAATTTAGTGCATCACAATATTTTCCACAAACCATTTGAGTAAAACAAACGATGAATTCTCACATTGCTCTGTGTTCTCTGTAGATCTGATGTACGTACTTTGGCTGTTTTGCGTGTCTTTGGCGTTTAACTGGAGCGCCTGGATGATTCCTGTGCGTTGGGCGTTTCCTTATCAAACACCGGATAACATCCATGTGTGGCTGTTGATTGACTACTTATGTGATGCCGTCTATATTCTGGACGTCCTGGCCTTTCAACCCCGACTTCAGTTTGTGCAAGATGGGGATATTGTGGTAAATATTGTCAGGCAAAATAATAGAATATGTAAAGTAAAACAAATTTTTTTTCACTCGGTGTTTTGCAAACTTTTTTGTTTTTAGAGCGAGAAGAAAGAAATGAGAAATAATTACATCAAAGCTTTACGATTCAAGGTAATGAGACATTTATGCCATTTATTGTTTCATGTTTATGCTCTGAGGTACTGGACACATTCTGTTTTCTAAGGGGTGGTTCACTCTAAATGCGCTTTTGCTGTTAAAAACGTTAGTGGAACGGAAAAAAAGGTCTAGAGACACGTTTTAAAAGTTGAACGTTTAACTTGTGTCATGCGCGAGATGCTGCAAAAGACACGAGACTTGAGTGCAATGGTTGAAGATGTCTGTCTAGCGCGTTTATATTGAAAAACAATGCGTTCTGTGTGAACGGCTCCTAAGGGTCTCATTTCCTGTGTTGCAGCTGGATGTTGTCAGTCTACTTCCTCTAGAGCTTCTCTACTTCAAAACAGGGTTTAATCCACTTCTCCGCTTACCCAGGATCCTGAAGGCAAGCTGCTACTCTCACCGTTTAACTGGGATTTAGCAAGATCAGTCCATGATGAACTTTGTTAATTCTTTAATGTGTCTTTCCTTTGTGCAGTTTATGTCTTTCTTTGAGTTCAACAAGCGTCTTGAAGCTATCCTGACCAACGCTTATGTTTACAGGTTAGCTGTTAGTTTCTATAAACTTTTTTATTGGGCATTTGCTATCTGAATAATTTATTATCTTGGTTCATGTCTTATTTCATTTATCAGAGTCATTCGAACCACCACCTACCTGCTTTATGCGGTCCACTGCAATGCCTGTTTGTACTACTGGGGCTCTTCATATGAAGGTCTGGGTTTCTCAGATTGGGCCTATGATGGGACGGGAAATAGGTATGTGAATCAATTTTGTTATTAGCTTTCATTTACATCAATCTACCATTGATCTTTCACATTATATTCAAAGTCCCACTTTCTTAGCTTTAAAAAGGATTCTACTTCTTTTTTTTTTTACAGTTCTTAAAAAGCGTGTGTGAGCGAGCATTAATATATTCTTCCGTTCCACATACACTATTAGTCCAGGTTTTCTGCACCAAAAACAGTTTTACATGGTAATTTTCCACCTTCTCTCGGATGAACAGTATTAAACTGATTGTTTTTGCTCCTTTACCTTTAAGAAATGTATATGTAAATGACCTCTGTTGTGATTGACTAGGATTGATGCACCAACATAATATTGTTGTTTATCATAGTTGGCCAATCTGCTGGATGGGCATTAATATGTAAATGTTGGTGGGAAATATGTTCATGTATTCATGTTTATGAATGTAATTTAATCACAACGATTTCTAAAAGGATGTTTTTAGAAAACGATGTTTTATAATATTTTCAACGTTTATGTTTTGAGATATAAATAATTCCTATTTATGTTTGCTTTGTGACATTTTCAGTTACATTCGCTGCTACTACTTTGCTGTGAAGACTCTGCTGACTATTGGTGGCCTGCCAGGACCCACAACACTTTTTGAGATTGTGTTTCAGCTCATCAATTACTTTATTGGAGTGTTTGTGTTCTCCATCATGATTGGTCAGGTAAAGCCATTATCATGGTGTGAAAGGGATCAAAAGACTTTAGTGTTTAATATCATTGAGTGAAGCTTGTCTTTTGTCAGATGAGAGATGTTGTGGGTGCAGCTACGGCGGCTCAGACAAACTATCGTGCCTGTGTGGACAACACAGTTAAATACATGGCCTCCTACCGCATACCTAAAGACGTGCAGAACAGAGTGAAAACCTGGTACAGCTACACGTGGCAGTCCCAAGGCATGCTGGGTGAGACACTAAGACAGACATCAATGAAAAAAATACATTACAGACATACGTATATTATCATATAACAAAAAATTTAACTTTTGTGGTTTCACACAGATGAACAAGAGCTTCTAGATCAACTTCCTGATAAGATGAGGCTGGATATAGCAGTGGATGTCAGCTTCAACATTATCAGCAAAGTGCCACTCTTTCAGGCAAGTGCTATGGCTGGAATTACACAACACAACTTTTGTTTACATTTTTACAATCTCCAAAAGACAATGCTAGTTACCAAAAGTCAGAGCCAGTCTGCAGATTTAGATTTTTATAGATATATTTTTTTTAAACTGGAGGGAACCCAGAACAGTTCTTTAACTTGCCTTGACTTTTTTCCATTGTGTCTTTCTCAGGGCTGCGATAGACAGATGATCTTTGACATGTTGAAGAGGCTCAGATCAGTGGTGTATCTTCCAGGAGACTATGTCTGCAAGAAGGCAAGAAACACAAAGATGATGTTTAGCCTACATAACAGACTTTTATACATACTTGTGTTTGTGAGGACAAGCCATTGTACCAAAGTAATATATATCATGTTACAGGATGAAGTGGGCCGTGAGATGTACATCATAAAGGCAGGGGAAGTCCAGGTAGTTGGTGGTCCCGATGGAAAGACTGTGTTTGTGACCCTAAAAGCAGGAGCGGTGTTTGGAGAGGTCAGGTGAGGGCAACTGTATCTAATTCGTTGGTATACAGAACATTGTCTTAAATCCCTCATTGTCAAATTTGATCTTCTGTCTGTTTCCCTAAATAAAGCTTGCTTGCTGTAGGCGGAGTAAACCGACGAACAGCTAACGTTGTAGCGCGTGGCTTTGCAAACCTACTCATCCTGACCAAAAAGGACCTGAATGATATCATTGTGCACTATCCGGAATCCCAGAAACTGCTCCGCAAGAAAGCAAAGTGAGTGCAGCAGCTGAAAGGAAAATCATCAATGATAAATATTTCAACGATATTTCACTGACTAAGTTTTTCATTTCCAGACTAAGCTTTTGTTTAAATACTCTGTAATATGCTATCTGCCCTTTAGGAAGATGTTGATGAAGGATAAAAAGCCAGCTGAGAAGAAAGAGGAAGAGAAGGAGCCCATCCCGATTATTCCTCCTCGTGCAGAGACGCCCAAACTGTTAAAAGCAGCGCTGGAGATGACGGTGAAATCAGGAATGAAAGGAACATGGTCCAAACTGAAGGACAGAACCAACAGATCAAGTGTCTCCTTGCAGGTATGTACCTTGAATTGAATTACTATAATACAAGTCTATAATAATATAATTATATGTATATTTATTTCTTTATTTTGAGCAGTTTTTTTTACCTGATTGGCCTCTGCTGATCCTGCAGCCTATGAAATTTCTTAACCAACATTTAAATAGTCTGGTTCAGTGTTTGCTGATTTAATATATATATTAAATATGTATTTATCAAGCACATTTCACTTTTTTCGCATGTAGCGCTCCGTCTCTTCTTCTGCGACGCCCAACTCACCAGTCCATGAACCGCACTCGGAGCAAGACGCAGACACACTGTCTCAGATGTCAGACAGCTCAATTCAAATCCCTGCGACCCCCACCGGCACTGGGGAAGGGAATGTATTTGCTGAAGAGAACCCAGCTGAGGAGGAAACAAAATTGCACAGAGGTAATCCAGCGGCAAATAAATAAGCCATAATTTGCAGAACACCGTTGTGCTCAGTGTTTAAACTCTGAAGCAGGTCGTGAGGTCAGGTACGGTCACGTAAGTGAACATCTGGACTGCACAAAACAGTCTTCTCATCAGGAAGTTTTCTCTTTCAGAATATTTAATAATAATCAGAATATTAACTATTTTATCTACCTGGGGCATCCGGATGCTCACAGCTTTTTTTCGGATGTCATTTCTAAAATACTGTACAGAACGGTCGTCTAATTATTTTCATGTTAATAAATGACACACATTAGTTACATTTAATAAAATAGAACAGTTTACATTTGTTTGCTCCTGCTATCCAATACTTAAGTGCCTTAATAAACCCTGATCACTGTCAAGCGCTGTACATATCTTTTCAAACAGTATATTAAGCAGCGCTCATATGAGTTCGGATTCATTTTTTTTGTTTTTTTTGTAGCATTTATGTAAGGTGACCAAACATCCTGGTGTACATATAAAGTATATCCTGACAGTTCACTTATAAATGTACTGGTTTTAGAAGTGTGGACAGTTTGAAACACTCGATGTCTAAACTAAAGATGATTAATATGATATGCACAACTACACTGCAAGACATTTTCTTTTGGAATTATTGTTATTCTTATCAGGTTGGTTAGTCTCTGTGCAACATCTGTCTGCTGTGCTGAAGATAATAGGTGTGATCATTTCAAAGTGTGAAATACAAACATTTTTATGGTATCTAGATGTAGGCCTAAAATTATTATTTTTTTAATGTATGTACAATGTTGAAAGATTTAGGTTTTGGTCAGCTTTTCAGAACCGAGAGCAGGTGGGCAGAAGGTTTGAAAATGAAAACTGCCTTTTTTATATAAACCTTCTCTGATGACTTGTTTTCCTTGATGTATAAGTATACAACAAACGCTGGGAAGTTAGTTATGCTTGTTGGACAATCACATGGAAAATAGAATAAATACTTTAGAGAGAGCAGCTGAATATTATGCACAAGCTTTATTTATTTATTTATTTTTTTTTACTTGTGCAAATTGTGATAAATGCTGAATCTGTTTATTGTACTGTATGATATTGCTGTTGCACAATGTTTCATATGTTTAGAACATTCTAAGCAGCTAAAAGTTGTATGGCCTGAGTAACTACTCTGTAAATAATTCAATAACTGTAGGTCAAAGTTGAGCGATTTGGAATGGCATGGCTATTGTAAAATTGTCACATAATTAAAGTTAAATTATTGTATGTCTGTTTATTTATCTCCTTTTACCTTTTTTTTTATTACAGAACAAGAACGTTTGCACAAAAACATACACGGTATATTACAATATACTACTGCTTAAATAATAGTAGCATCAAAGTAAATAAACAAAAAATCATTCAGATTAACCAAATAAATGATCCAGGGAATAACTTTAAATGATTAAACTAGAAAATGTAAGTATTGATCCATTTTTTTCTTTCATCTTTTAGTCTCAATATATTACAGCAATATTTCCATACATACAATCTAACTAATATATTACGAATTTAAATATTAATCACCAAATTCAGTTCCACAAACTATCTCTATGCAAACACTTGAATTTTGTTTTGAATAGCGAAGTTATTAAATACGCAAAAAGTTATTTACCACAGACCTTATTTTAATCAAATTGAATAGAGAGAGAAAAAAAAACATGAGAACATTTCGAAAGAAACATTGTTGAATTAGTAATAAAACATCATTGTTGAATTAGTCTTCCAGGTTCTGACGTCATACCGGCATCATAATCACGTAGTGCGGCAAATTTATTTATTTATTTTTATTAGAGAGTTTATTGTTTTCATATGTCCGTGTTCACTTAATAAATAGACGAATCTAACGAAATGGATGTCTAAACTTCATGATTAAATGAGTCGGTGAACTGACTCGAGAACCACTTGAACCGTTTAATCCAATGGGCTTTATGCCCAGCTGCACTACTTCCTGAACTTCAGCCAGCTCCTTGTTTCCTGTCTGCCATTATTGGCCAAATTGATTAATTCAGGTGTGTCTGACCTCAGTAGTCATGGCAACAATAATCAGACACACCTGAATTAATCAATTTGGCCAATAATGGCAGACAGGAAACAAGGAGCTGGCTTAAGTTCAGGAAGTAGTGCAGCTGGGCATAAAGCCAATTCTTGTAACTTAGCTGAATGGGTTGATTGCACTGACATGTCCTGTTCATACATACGTCAGTGAAGTGAGTCTGGGACGATGCAATTGACTGAAGTGAATCACGGCCCTGAAGACCTTTTGTGTCCAGTTTGTCGCGACTTTGTCAATCACCCAGTGGTGCGGCCACAGAGGTTGCAAAGACTGTATTGAGCAGTAGCGTTACTGGAGATTCAGTGTCTCTGGAGACTCTGTGCAGACTAACAAGCGCTCTGAGAAACCTATGTCAACTCAAGCATTCCTGGATCACAGGCTCTCTCTAGAGGAGCTGTGTACAAACACACGGAATCACTTGGACATTTAACGGCGTAGACATACACGTGGATAGCTCAAAATGCGTATAGATAACGCACTTGACTTGAAAGTGGAGTGTATGTTTACGCAAAAGTCATGATGTCATGTTGCGGATTTGAGAAACCTGCGATAGTTAGGCTGAAACGGGACATGAGTGCAGGACAGCTGTCATTCACACCTGCTTCACACACAATTTCACTGAGATGGGTCTTCCCATTCCTCTACACAGAGGGCCATTTCCCTCTCACTATTTGGCCTGAGGTCAAACCTGAAGAGATCTGAAGAGAAGGACATTGGCTGTTAGATTAAGTGTTCTTGATTTCCTTATTTTACATTGTTGTGTGTTGCTGTTATTGATATCTCTTTAGTTTGTAATTACTTTGAGGAATGTTCAAGGATATGTAGATTAAGGATTAATGTTACCAGTATAGTCTAAAAGAATTCCTGCAATCTCAATTGTATGTTGAGAACAAACATACAAGCTTGCAATTGGAACTACAATGCAGAAATACTCAGATTGTATTAACAGCATAAGATTAAAAAATACCTGTATATGTTGGCTTCTTGATTGTAACTCTCGATTAATGACAATTAATTCAAACTGAACAAAAACATGTTTTTAGTATGATCAGAAATACACATATTTTATTAAACACTAGATTAGGAAGACTTATTATTATTGATTACACAATAATAGCAAATTGAATCAACTCAATAAGCTAAGAAGGTTTGCCGTTTTTGCGACCCCATTTTCAAAATGGGGCATTTAAACAGTTAAAAAATAAAACACATTTATTTAAAAAGAACTTGAAGTATTACAAGTATGTCAAAAATGTTTTTTTTTCTATAATTAGTTTAAATAATAATTTAATTTTAAATAATAACAAAAATATTTCTTGTTTTCTTTCGCAAATTCACTTGAGAGAACATTGACAGCAGACGGATTTCACGGATAACAGCGATATTTGTCTTGAAAATGTTTCATCCTAGGCCAATTATCAGGCAGCATCACCGTGGGCAGATGCCGTCGATTCGCCGAGAGTCTGTGAAGCCCACTGGACACACACCCTCGCACACAATGCCGTGGAATCGCCGAGAGTTTGTGAGGCCCACGGGACACACACCCACACTGATGGTGATTGGAAACGGGCGTGACAATGATCTGACTACACCTAACCAAATAACCATCAGGCAGCATCGCCGTGTGCTGAAGATGCCGTCAACATTGAAGGATGAGTCTGTGAAGCCCACTGGCCCCACACCCATGTTTATGGTGACTGGAATACGAAATACAAATGGTCTGACCCGACCTCACCAGACACCGCATGCGCCAACTGAAAGGCCAGACGGGAAAATGAAGAAATCTCCATTCCCGACTCTGCCTCCACTGGTCGGTACGGATGCTTTCAAGACCCACAACCCCCGAGTGAAAGCTCGAGCTCCGCAACGACACCCTTCTAGTGCTTCTGACCCTCTCCCACAGCGGGTGACTAGCCAGTTACCACATGTGAACCGGAGCAGTGTGGGGAAACAAGCCAGTGCACAAAAGCAGAGCCCCGTTCGTCCGATACAAAAGAAGACGGCCTCTAAAAAGAAGCAGCCACATAAAGACCAACCGCAAATGCCAGTTAGACTCTTGCCTGTGGCCGATTTCCCCCCAGTGAGTGAATCAGTAGCCGCGTTTCCACTGCCGGGCCAGGGCCGGGCCGTGCTAGTGCGTGCCAGGGCCAGTCGCGTTTCCACTGTCACTTCCGGGGCTTGATCGGGGCTTCCTCAGGGCCAACGGCCAGGATTTCTGGCCCGTCGAATACCTTGGGCCAGAGGGGGCCAGCTCGGGCTAGAGGCGTGCTCAAGGTAAAAGGCGGAGTTTATCGGTGTTATGGAACGTTATGATCTGAAGCAAGATGCACATAGGGATGTCCATGTTTAACCGATTAACCGTTTAAAATTGCATAACATTTTAATTTGAATGTATAGGCCTATGCCAAATGCTGCGCAACAATATATAGGCTAGCTATATCGACGAATTTTCAGACATTTGTTTGATTTTTTTTGCCCCTTAAACATTTAAAATATTTGACAAATTAATATAAAAAAATATATATATTTTACTGGTTTTCTGAGGCCAAATTAGAACCTGGAAATGATATTTTCCCCGCAGTGCTGAATGAGAAGAGACCACAGCCTACAGAAAGGGGATTTATGGGTGATTTATAGGCTATAATAAATGTGTCTGATAATAAAATAATATAAAATAACGAGGCATTAATTGTTTATTAATAAACTATTGTTTTCTAAATGATTTTCGGCTAAAAACATATCTCCATCTCCGGATGCACATTTAGAGAGAAATTAAGCAAACATAGAAGATAGTGGCTTTCGATTCGAATTTGTTCGTTTTAAATTGGACATTTAAAGCTTTAATCTACAAAGGATATAACCCCTAAGCTTTAAATGTCCAAATTAAAACGAACAAATTCGAATGCGGTGGCTGTTTCAGGTCTCGCGCTTCAGTTCACGGAGATCATGAAGCGCGCCTTGATTAATTGTTAAAGCACAACGTTTTCTTGTTATAAATAAATGTATTTGCGAATAATGTATTATTATTTTCTGTATGACCAGAAATTAAAGAGTATTTTAAGTTGTTTCCACTAAAAGAAATGCAATGAAACTGTTCACATGGGCGTCTCGCAGCCATCAGTGCGTGCTCCACACACACTGGATATGCGCTGATATTTGTCAAAAATATTGTGTTTATTTGTGCTCTGTTCCTTTTTTGGATAAAGGCGTCTTCTACATATGCAGCCTAATAAAATGTTACAATAATGATGATGATGGTTATTATTATTATTATTTGCAGACACGGAGTTTTTGTGAAATGGACGTTTTGCTTATTTTCAATTGGCAATTTCAGTTTGAAGGGTGATGGAAATGCGGCTTTAACTGCTCCGTACTTGCTGCGTTTTATTTCTATAAATTAATTTCGTTTCAAATGGGGTCCAATCAGTTATTAAAGGTGTTAAAAATTTACTCTGTATATCTCGAGGTTGCGGCGCGCACACTATGCACCGAGTATTAACCGATGGGCCTCGGTTAACGATTAATGAATAACTTGAAAACGTGCCCGCAGCCCTACTTGTTATATCGCGCAAAAAATCGCTGCTTGAAATGGAGAATCGCCTGTACTGGTCTCGGGACACTATTGCAGCCACTACGGCAGGTGTGTTAATGCTATCTTCCTAATTTACAAAATAAATTAATTCATAATACCCGCTGAAATGGGTTGGGTTTTATGACGTTTGATCCAGAAAGGCGTGTTAGGGGTGGGGTCTGGGGCAGCGCTGTGGGGCTACTGGCCCGGCAGTGGAAACGCAAGCCCGGTGCTTGAGGCCCGAGGCCACTAGCTCGGCCCGGCTCGCTGTTAGCTCTGGCCCAGCCCTAGCCCGGCAGTGGAAACGCGGCTAGTGAGGGCAGTGATGTTAAGAATAGCAAAACAGCAGCATTTAGAGCGCCAGCGAGCTGCAGTGACAGGTAGAACCTGCCAAAGAACGTTCTTATAGGCTAAATAAAGCAAGAGAGAAAGGTTGGCAGGAAATGGCTGATCGTCTCAATGCGTAAGTAGCGGTGTAAACTATTTAAAATAACTTTATCAACATTGAATGTGTGTCACAATACATTGCAAAGTTTGTGTGTGAATAACAGTAACGTTAATTGCTTTCACGCAGCAGCAACTCAAGTGAAGGAAAAAGAACATGGCAGCTGGTGAAAATAAAATATAAAATATAGTTCAGAATGGTAAGTAAATCTAATGGTGTGTAGTAATCAATGCCAGCTTGAAGTTGCAACTATTCAGGTTTTTTTATTTGTGTTATTTTTTAATTGCAGCGACCAAAAAGAAGACTGAGGTTGCTGGCACTGGGGGAAGGCCACCACCAGCCAGCTTCTTAAAAGGTGTGTGTGTGTGATTTATTATCATTATTCCTTCATGACTATCTGATTTCCTCCTTCCTTAGGCATTGTAAGCCTATGTACATCATAGCAGTAATGTCACATAGAGGTACTTGTGCTACTGTAATGATGCATTTTGGTAAAATAATATATATATATATTTTTTTTCTATCAAGATTCTGCTATCAAGATATGCTTTATGGATCCACCAGACATCATGTTGCCTGTGAGTATGAGACCTTTTACATCAGTCATGTAAGCTAATGAGTTAAACTAATCAGTGGTCACAGGGGGAAGGCCCATCAGTTGAGGAGGATGAGGAGACTGTGTGCTGATTCTTACTAGTTCTGCGAGAGCTCTCTAATTGTAATTCTTTATGGAATTGTTACTATTGTTACCGACGAGTAAGGCTGGGTACAATTTAAGCTAAAACGGCTCGCCATACATCTTCGGTAAAATGGGAGTGTCAAGAACACATCCGGGATTCTATGGTGTATTGGGACCATAGATATGTATATCTATGATTGGTACAGTCATATGGGGACAGTACTTGGGCCGCGACTGATGACGTTTCACAAGTCCACAAGAACACAAGTACAGACAAGAAGGCAATCAAACAAACAAACAAACAAACAAACAAAAAGAACGGTAAGAATAAACTTAATTTAAACGTTAAAGAGTGTGCGTTTGGACTTAACTCCAAACGAACGTTTAAATACAGTTTATTAAACAAAAACAAATAAATAAATAAATAAAAATACAGACAAGAAGGCATATTGAGAAACGGCCCTAGCTTAAAAAGAATTACTGCGCCATCTGTCGACACAAATCCAAAGTCAGGTTCTGTCTTTCATTAAACTACGTTTCCCGGGTGACTTTGCGCGCTTCTCGCACGTGATGGCTAGTGTTGTTCTTGTGATAGTTCTTTATTATTTTCTTTGAAAATAATGTTTGTGTTTTGCTCGCATTTCGGAGGGGTTTCGGATGTGCAGCGGAACGTGTTGTGGATAATGTTGGGGTTTGGTGCATCGTTTAAAACTATGTGAGGAGGAACAACGAGAGGGTGTTATCAGATGGTCCCGTGCTCTTGAATATTTAGGACGTTGACAGTCCTGCCGCGTAAATGATAAACATCGTTGAACTGAGTCAATGGTTTAAAATTGATATTACATTAATATTAATGATAACTAATAAGACCAGATATCTGAAGTGAGGGCAGTCATGGAGAGTCCATACCTACCTATTGAGGTAAGTCCGTCCATCCTGGATAGGCTAGCTGCTAGTTAACAGTTAGTGGTTTAGAGCTGAAATAACAAGTATGCTAACAGGAGTTTCCCAACTTGTATTTTCATCACCTTTCTGTTTATTCGACAGCATGTGCTTACTGAAATTTACCATAGTTTCACTGTGTTTTTGACTCTGTAGCATAGCACACACAATGGATATTTTGAAGGAGAACAAAAAACGATTGATAGATAAACGGACAGACAGACATTGGTTGGCGTAGATGTATTAGGAATAACCTTTTTACAGTCTATGGGAATAACTTATACCAGTTTTTTTTCTCTATGTGGGGCACGTTGTCACAATAAAATTATGTTTATATATTAATAATATAAATGGATTATAATTGTGTGTATACGTACGTACGTATTACGTACGTAATTATTTATAATTCATATATCATATAATTAAAATATTCATTAATACCCCCCCAACACACACACAATAAAAATAGTGTATAATATAATGTATAACATGAGCAAAATGTGACAACTTTCATTATATAGTTCAGTCTTGACTTCATATGTTCCAGAGAGAGTGTTGTAACCTGTACATTTTCTCCCTTCTGCTCCAGATTATCTCCTACATATTGAGTTACCTTCATGTAACGGATCGAAAGGAGGCGTCACTGGTCTGTAAGAGTTGGTACGAAGCAAGCCAAGACCACCGGTTTCAGGTTTTTCTCATTTTCATTGGAATATCAAGATGATCTTAATTTAAATTTATACTAAATGTAGACATTCATGTTTTGGTTTAGTCCACTTCTTCCACATTTGTTTCAATTGTCTTTTGGGTGTTTAAATCTAGAAAAATGCCACCTTCAAGTTCCATGTTTCCACATCTTCACTGGACTTTATCCGTGCACTTGCAAGGCGCCCTCGCTGTGGCCTAGTCATCAGTCATCTTGATGGATCCAGCCTGTCAAGACAAGTACTTTTGGAAGTGGGGCTTCACCTAGGCCCTCACTTGGACAGTTTGGCTCTACCGGGCAGCAGCATCACAGAGTCTTCCCTGCTGGGCCTCCTGCCACATCTGACCGGCCTCCGCAAGCTGGACCTTCACGGGCTGGACAGCCTCTTCATGTCTGGGGCTTTTCTGTCAAGACAGGAGCACCGTCGACAGGTTACATCTTTAAAGAAATTACATATTTATTTTATTTTAAATTTATTTTTAAATTTATATTTATTTTTCATAATGCACATTATATTGTTGTGTTTCCTAAATTGAAATGTAAACATTTTTATGAATATTTATTTATGAATAAAAAGTAATATATATATTTATCATTAATAAAATAGTATAAAATGTCAAAATGATGTTGTATTAAGTGCAATCTAATATTTGTGCAATATTAGGTGGAGGATGCTTTGAGGAACCTGGAGGAACTGGACTTGTCTGATCTCCGCTACCTCTCCGATCTCTCTTTCAACCGGCTGACGAGTTGCACGCCCAGGTTGCGCGGTCTGGCCCTGGCCGGGTGCCACATCGCTTTCGAGTTTGACCCATACCGAGGTAGCCCTGTTGGGTCCGGCTCCTCGGCTCTAGTTTCCCTCCGGAACCTCCTGACTCTCTTGCAGAAGCAGGCCTGTACGCTCCACAGCCTGGACTTGAGTCGCACCAGCATCACCCCCGAATCCCTCCGCTCCATAGCTCAGGTGCCCGGCCTCCGTCTGGAGGATCTGAGTCTACGCGGCTGTAAAGAGCTGACTGACTACTCCATAGAAACCCTCTGCAAGCACCAGAACGGCCTGAGGACGCTGGATCTCGGTGCCTGCACTGAGTTGACCAGTAGGACGGTGCTGGCGGTGTCCACTGAGCTGAAGGATCTGCAGTCGCTGACCCTCTCGCAGGACTGGAAGATAACAGATAAAGGCCTGACCGAGCTGATGGCGCTGCCGTGCTTGAGGACTTTGGATCTGTCGGAGTGTCTGCATGTCAGCGGGACAGACCTGGTGAAGGGATTGTCCTGTCCACAGCCCAGGGCGCAGCTGCAGTCCCTTAGCCTAAGAAACTGCTCATACATAAGGGTGAGGCAAAAGTGCTGAATGGCACGTATACACAAAAGGAAATTTGCAGCCAATATATCATCTAATATTATGTTTCATTATGCCTGCTTATTTCCCCTACTTTTACAATTCATTTACCTTTGTCAGTATCTAACCCTTACTTAAATAAACACTAAGGATTTAATAACCTTTGCCTATCGTAAACAAATCTCAAAATGAATATCCATTTTCATACCATTTAATAAAAACATTTAAGTTGTTATATATTTTTATAATTTAAGAAAATATCGCAAATAATAAAAAAAATTAAATCTGCAAGCAGCGATGAAAAGGGCCCTCGCTCCTTGTTTTAGGAAAACAGAGCACAATGGGCAGTATGTAATGATAATAAATACAGGAGGACTATGTCAAAGTATTTGTATTTGTCACTCTTCCTGCTACAAGAAGGTGGCGCTATTGCTACAGCCGAATATGAGCATGGTTATGTGTTCGTTAAAGTACAGTATCTGGAAATGGCAAAAACTCAAAATAGCTCACTTCCTGTTGTGTTTAGGGCTATGATCCAAGAGACTTTTGTAGATATTGGGTCACTGCATGTATGTACTGAATTTCACAACTGTACGTGAAACACAGACGTGGGACAATAGTTTAGGGGGGGGGGGGGGGGGGGCAGGCAATTAAGCCATTTTGCCCCACCCAATTCTGAAACCCACATCACACATATATATTTTCACCACTTCTGAAGCGCCGTGAGCAAAGTGTCATGAGTTTTCGAGCATGTTTAGGCCCTCTAAAAACGTTTTAATGTCATAATTGTATTTCATATTATGATTGTTTAATACATACTATAATTAACAAAATAGTATACAAATAAATAGCAAGTATTTGCCATAATTTAGGATATGAATATATCATACAATTCTTGTTTATATTTTGTATTAAATATATAATAATAATGTTGTGATAGTATATATATATATATATTTTTTTTTATAATAATAATATTGAATTTTAATATTACAATTACTATATTCTAATTATAATTTGTAATTAACCAAACAGTATTAAAATGTAAGAAATATTATTGGCATATTTAGGATAATTTGAATATACAATTTTTGTTTGGCAAAATTTCATTTGAATATTTTCCTCAAATGACCCATCAAAAAAGATTTTTGCTAACACCCTCTGTTCTCAAACAGGACCCAGTCATGTTCTCCCTGACGCAGTTGCTGGGCAGTAACCTGAGAAAGCTGGACCTCACCTCCTGCGTCTACCTCACCGACCTCAGTGTTCACGCCATCGCAAACTATCTCCCTGCGCTGCTGGTGCTGCGGCTCGGCTGGTGCAAAGAGATCTCAGACTGGGGGCTGCTGGGGATGGTGGAGCCCACCAAAAATTGTGAACCAAGAGACAAAGAGGTGGGATTGACTTTTAGTTCTTTTTTTAGGACTTTGATAATCAGTGCACACAAAATGTACAATTTGCTCATAAATGCCCCAAATGTGTAGGATGATAAAGGCCCAAGCTTTACCAGGACATTTGGAAACATGGGCTTTTTCCAGCCTCCCAGCATGCCTTTCCAGGAGAAGCCACGTCTCGTAACCGATGAGGACCTGGGGGCGTTTAGAGATCGGGAAGGAGCATCACTGCTGGCCCTCAGGGGTCTTCAGGAACTGGACCTGTCGGCCTGCTCGAAGTTAACCGACACCAGTATCACACAGGTCAGTCCATAATAGAAACGCCGCTGCTTGCAAATTGTAGTCCATTACTGAATACAAAATACATGATGAATATTATAGTTACTAACATAACCTATTACATTACACATATTAGGTCATGTAATCGGGACTACTTTTTGATTACTTTTGACCTAATGTGTGTGTAACATTAATATGAATAGGATAATATTAAGAGAAATTTTATATATATATATATATATATATATATATTTATAACCAAAATGTTCCTGGCCACCTCAGGTACTCCGTTTCCCAGACCTGCAGCGTCTCTCGCTTTCCATGCTGCCCGAGATCAGCGACGACAGCTTGGTGTCCGTAGCTCTTCACTGCCGCAACCTCACGAGCCTGGCACTCAACCTCTGTCCCCAGATCAGTGACCAAGGTATGGCGCGGGCCCTTCCGCTCCTCCACAGACTGCAGCATCTATTCCTGGCCTGCTGCGACGCGGTTACAAACGAGTGAGTGACCTCATCCAGTGCTGTTTTCACACTAAACTACTGAGCTCTGCTTAACATGGTTAATGTGTTCCTACAGCACTCTTTCCATAATTGCGCTGCACTGTGACAGACTCAGGACCCTCGATGTGTCCATGTGCAAGGACATAACTGTGCACCAGGTGGACCTCCTCCAGTCCCGCTTGCCCTTCCTTGAGAAAGTCCAGTGTCGCTTTGCCAATGGCACAGATTTCACTATTGTACTCTGATTCTGTAAGTGAAAGTGAATCATATGAAAATATATTTAAAGCACTTTGTACTCAGGTATAAAGAGTGATACATTTCTAAATGCTTTATTTTTTTTTTTTGGATAGGATCATAACTGTATTATTTATGTTGTGAATCACTGCTTTTGAATGTAAAGGTTTCAGCTCTTGTGTTCACACATTTCAAATGATTCCAGTATAAACATGATCTGCTATTGATTAGTAGATATAAAACTCCTTACTGGCTGTACTCCAGGCAGTATATGTCAATAAATTATTATTACAAATAATGCTTATGTCTTTTTCATTAATTGTTCTGTACCACTGTGATCATTTGTGTATGCTGCGTTTATAAGTCTACACTTTACAACTTCCGCATTTCGGCAGCACCAGATAAGGGTGAACTTAAGCTGTAGCCTATGACACATAGGTAGTAATGTTCAAAGGTCATTCGTTTTATGATACAATTTATTGCTATGTAACCTGGAAATATTTTATATACATCCGGCTGACTTCTGATTCAGTATTATTTAATCAATTTAGCTTTTAAAGGGACAGTGCATTGGAAGTACAAGTTTTTACACCGTGTGTGTGAATCTGTGCAGCCACATCAAAAGAAATATTATCTGAGTTTGTCTGTTCAATCTATTTTAAAGTGAGGAAATAAAACGATGGTAGGCTATGTACAGCAAAAACGCATTTCTATTAACATCCTCGCGGGTTTAACTCTCAAAAACGAGATCAATGACCAAATCACACACACACACAAAAAAAAAACTCTACTTAGTGGATAAAAAACACTGGGTTTTAAGAACAACAAAAAAATCTTCAGTGTTTTATTTATTTTTAAAACGGCTTTACGAACAACAACAAAACTCTTATTAGTGAATCAAAAACAACGGATTTTACGAACTAAAGCACAACGAGCGACTCTTGAGAGTCGTTTCTTTTAATGGAATTGTTAAAAAAGGCGAGTTGCAATTTTAAACCAGCCTAACGAATTGTTCGCTAAACAATCTGTTGCACCTACAGAGACCATCAAAATGGGAACAACGAGCATGTCAACATAAAAAAAAAAAACACCAGAAAGCATTCACAGAATTGCCTTACTTCCACTGGATGCTGTTTTTGGATTTCTTTTCAATAAGTCCAATTCCTTCCAAAACATTGGTGATGTCATATATCCGCCTTTTCTGTCTTACAGCCAAAGTATCTGCAGCCTAAATCACATTCACACAAAAGAAACCAAACAAGATTATTGATTCTTCTCATCACATGCGGCCCAAATGCACAAAACACACAAGTGCTCAAGTGTGGCGCATACAAAGCCCTTAAAAGAGCAGTTCACTGAAAAATAATGGAATGTTTTAAGTAGAGTGTGAGAGACTGACATCTTCGGTCACCATTCACTTGCATTGCATCTTCATTCCATGCAATGAAAGTAAATGGTGACTGAGGCTGTCATTGAGCCTAACACCTCCTTTTGTGTTCCCACTTAAGAAAGAAAGTCGTATGGGTTTAGAACAAAAAGAGGGGGGGGGGGGGGGGAAGACAGAATTTTTATTTTTCCTTTGAACTGTCCCTTTAAGACGTATTGCCTATCAAAACAGACAAAAACAGCCCCCAAAAAAGTTGACAAGCAAGCAACTTCAAGCAATCAAGTTCCAGGATGACCTGTTCATTTCTACAAGACTTCGATCAAATATCATTAAAATGACCAAACTAGTATTTCAATACGTTTTTAAAACGCGTAATATAGTGTTTAAACCCCAATGGAAGCCAAGAAGCGGATCGCCTGGTCGCATAGGCCTAAACTATCCCAAACTCCAGAGCACGTGCTTGTTTTGAAGGCTTTTGTTTGAGATTTCAGTCCGGATGGGTTTAGCTTCTTAACCGCAAGAAACCTCCAGGATACAACAAACACCACATCAGCGGGTTTGCATCGCAGACAAGTAGTGACATTACACTTGCAACCTGTTAGCTGGCTCGCATGGTTTAGTGGAGGAACTAACGTTACTTTATTTAAGCCGAGCTGTCGTCTAGTTGAGAGAGGGGTAGTAACTTACATGGACGCGACCCCCTCCTCCCTTCCCAAAGAAACTTTTTCAACTTTTCTGTTCTTTTATACGACCTGGAGTGCATCTGTTTGCATGCAAACAATAAAAACTATGCATTTTTAACAGGCGCTGTCCATCTCGCGCGTGCGATACAGAAAACATATAACGTTAGCTGATGACGGTGATAGTAATGATGAGCTCGTCTCGTGCTTACAGCTTTCAGATCCAGCACTCCGTCCTTCGCTTCCTGCAGCAGAGTCACAAATTTAGTCGTGAGGAGCCCGAGACTTTTCTCGTGGCGACTGGGGGTCTGCGGCTGCAGCGAATCTCCCATCGCACCCAGTTCGTTTCTTCCGGTCTCTAAATCCATCAAGTTGCTTTTAGAGTATTAATAAATCCCCACAGCTCTGCCTGCGGTCGGTTTGTGTTTGTATAGACCATTTCACAAGATGTAAACAACACTGGTCCAGAAGCACTTCCTGTTTCAGTTTTTTAACACTAACGTTACATAAAAGCTGGGATAAAATACAACCAACAGAACATTTAAAACTGAATCAAAAAGTTAAACAAACATCTTTAAGATGTTTTCTTTACATGTGAAATAAAGAAAACAGTTACAAACTGAAACAGGAAGTGTTTCTGGACCAGTGTTGTTTACATCTTGTGAAATGTTCTTTCTGTTGTTATATCGCTGACAGCACCGCCTCTGCCGCCCAAACGCTCGCTTCTCTTCTTCTTTGTTTTTACCGGCGGTTGGCAACCAGCTTTTGGTGCATTACCGCCACCTTCTGCTCCGGAGTGTGAATCAGACATTAGGCTTACAATCTAATGGGCTCTATGCACGGCGTTATTTCCGGTGAAGGTGAAAGGATGCTCGATAACTTCCGCCGATCGTAGAGTCCAATGCAATAGCGAGAATTTATATTGAATTGTATACTCCATGGTTATACTAATGAAACGTTAGTCACAAAAACAGATAAAACAGACACCCCTCGTTGTGTTTATGCTTATTTTTAAAATTATATTAAATAAACATAACTATATATAAAATTACATCTAAACGTATGTACGTTTCGTTTCAAAGACGGGAGGACAGTAAATATTGAAGACTCTGCCATAATCCCGTTTTCTCCGGTTTTCCTCCGCTTTAATCTACACAACCGGAAATGGACGAGCATCCTTGCGTCAAATGCGGAACTTATGCGTGCATATAGCCCATTGGCTTTATGCCCAGCTGCACTACTTCCTGAACTTCAGCCAGCTCCTTGTTTCCTGTCTGCCATTATTGGCCAAATTGATTAATTCAGGTGTGTCTGATTATTGTTGCCATGACTACTGAGGTCAAGCACACCTGAATTAATCAATTTGACCAATAATGGCAGACAGGAAACAAGGAGCTGGCTGAAGTTCAGGAAGTAGTGCAGCTGGGCATAAAGCCCATTCCCACATTAAAAAAAAAAAAAAAAATCCCACCATATTACTCACATTCACTAATTTCCCTACACTTTTCCTTTTTCCCTATTTATCCTCATAACCGATCATACAAACCTGTTTCCCTTAAAAAAGTTAACAATATCCTACCCTGTGCTCTGTCACCTTCACCTATATTCAACACTCCTTTTAATGTTAACTCTTGTACCCCTAATTCCCTCAATTTATTCCTCGTTATCACTCTCTGTGATTCATAACTCCTACAACTTATTATTATATGCTCCACTGACTCTACTTCCTGACACCACTCACACAAGCCTGTTTCATGTTTTCCTATCAATTTCAGTGATTTGTTTAAAGCACTGTGGCCCAACCTTAACCTTGTCATTACAGTTTCCTCTCTTCTGTGCCCACCACCTAATCTAGTTATTTTTACACTCTTTTGAATTTGATATAAATGCCTTCCTTTCTCCTCTCTGTCCCATCTTTCTTGCCACATTTGGTTAGTTTTTCTCCCAGACAATACTTTTAACCTCTGCTTTACTTATTTTAATATGCATTTCTATTTTGTCCTTCTTTATTGCCCTTTTCGCCAATTCATCCACCAGCTCATTCCCTTTCACCCCTACATGTGCTGGAACCCACATAAATTGTACCTGTCCTCCCTGATTTTTTATCCTTGTCACTGACTAAAGGACTTCATACAATATATCCTGACGGCTCTTGTGTATAAGTCTATCTTTGGTCTCATTAAACTATAGTTTGTTCCATGGCAAAAAATAAAAAATAGTTTTTGAGGTTTCATAACTTTATGGCTCTTTAACTTTAACAACATTTGTTTTATATTATCTTCACTAAATGAACAATAAAATAAAATGACATAACCCTGTCTCTGTTTGATAAATGTCAACAAAAATCAATGTTTCATATTTTTAAAATGAAAACAAAAAGATCATGTTCATTTTGTTATAAATAAATGCAGTGAAGAGAATCGCGTTGCCTGAACCACGTGGCCATTAGGCTATGTTGTTTTTTTGTTAATGAAAAGAGTCAGAGTGAACATATTTCGTTTTATTGTTGACGGAAAGATGCAGAGTTGTAGCAAATTTCGTTTTATTGTTGCCTAAAATATAGGCTAAAGAAGAGATAACAGGAGTAGAGCGTGCTGAGTGACGCGATCAAGTACGCTCTGTTCCATTTGCAGAAGAACCTCGCATCCTCGGGAGTTCGTTCTCCTGAGTCAAACTTGGCAAGTCTGAACTACCAAGGACGCAAGTCCGAAGTCTGCGTACTTGGTATTGAGAAACAGCTATAGTAGGGTGACCAAACGTCCTGTTTTCCCAGGACATGTCCTGTTTTCACGTCCTGTCCTGACCGCCCTGTTTGTTTTTTAAAAAGTGATGAAAATGTCCTAGTTTTCATTATTTTTCATTGGGCCATTAAGCGTGTACTTTAAATACACGCTTGCCTTTGCACACAAAACATATGACTTGGCTTCACCCCCTCGTCAGCGTGTTCCTCAATCCGCAGCGTCAAGCACAGAGCAGAGAGCACGTAATGTCAGACTCATAATCATCAGAATACAGAGGACTGTGTGTGTGTGTGTGTGTGTGTGTGTGTGTGTGTGTGTGTGTGAGAGAGTGTTCATCGCAGCCTCATTGATCTGTCACTGCTTGTCAATGTCAGAATATTTGAAATGACCAATCAAATCAAAGTAGGCGGACTTTACGTTCACAGAATTTTAGCAGTGTGACGCTTCAGACGCTTCAGTTTGCGGTCAAGTGCGAGGTAAGATGTAAGTAGCTAACAGCGTAAAAAAAAAAGCCCAAATGTAAATTCACAGATGATTTACAGAGAAAATTCCTGTGTTTTCGTTTCGGTCGGGATCCGTGTAAAGCAGAATGCATGAACTGCAAAGCAAAGCTGGCACGTATCAGTCAGTGTCAAGGTGATAGCGACCTAGAAGCCCACATAAAGAAAGTATAGGCTAAGAGAACATCAGGAGGATTCAAATTGTTTTTTTTTTTTATTTTTTTTTTTTTACTGAAATAGTGTAGGCCTAGTAGATTTTTTTATTTTATTTTAGTAGTATATTTTTAACCTATGCTATGGCCATGAAAAGAAATAGTGTCATGTAAAAGGTGTTAAAAAGTAAACTTTTCTTTAAATAGTATTCTTTTGTTGCGGGCCAAACATTGAATGGAAAGGATGTATTACTTTATATATTAAAGTACAATAACATAGTTGCAAGGTTGTAAATGAATTAGTCAAGTATTTTTTGATCTCCCACCCCTTAACCACGCCCCCCCCCCCCCCAAAAAAAAAAAAATCATGCCCCGCCCATCAACTAAGCCCCCCGTCCTGTTTTCCAAAAACTAAAATATGGTCACCCTAGGCTATAGAATTCCATGTATTCTACAGTTTTGAGTATTGCCCTGGTTGTTAAAATATTACAAGGTGTGAAGGAATTCCAGTGTGGAGAATAAAGTTAGGTTTTACGCTATTCGCAGAAAAAAAATATTAAACAAAAACACATAGGTTTCTTTAGGGGCTATTCACATGAGCAAGTTTAAAATAAGGTTTTTCATTAAAACTTAAACTTTCAATTAACTCCGGTGCTTTTCGGTCATTTCTGACCGGAAAATCTTCTGTTTTGAATTTCTAGAAACCACAGCTTAATCTTATTGGTATACGAAACTTGGTGACTTTTATGGCACTTGGAATGTGAACACAAAAAAATAAAGGGGATGATTCGAGCAGGCTATGTGGCAAAGTCTCTATATTATTCTGAAATCCTGCATTATTGAAAAAAGGAAAAAATAGAAAACAATTTTTGTATTTTTTCAATGGCAAAAATAAACCATAAATACTGATCATATCCTCTCAAATACAAAATAAAAAAAATATATTATTATACAAAAACATATTAGGCATACATTGGTTTTACTGGGGTGAAGGAAGTTTTATTTTCAGCCAGGTGTCCAGTCAATGACCCCAAAGATAATAAGTGCTACCCCCAAACGAGGAGCACCAGAGGGTTAATTTGATGGTACGCTTCTCCACATAGGAAGAACACACATGCCATTGGCCTACTGACCTGATGCAGACACACAGCGGATTGATATCGACTTGGTCTAGAGCTAGGTTTACGCGAGGTAAGGTGACAATAAGCGGAGCAGTCTGAAATCTCCCCCAATACCTCTGAAATAGAGTGCACTGCAGTTCAATTTTTCATAAATCATAATACATGCCTGCCTATGGAAGCCATACGTTATATTGCTCACTTTACAACTTAAAAATATATAAAAATATATTTTAGTAGAATCCTGAACACATTTACAATTTATTATTGATTCAGTTCATGTAGAGGTCTACGTTTTAGATAACTGGAACATGATGTATAACTGGAAAATAATGTATAACTGGAACATGTTATAACTGGAACATAATATTACATTATGCAGGAAAACAATTAAGCTCTGTCTTGGATTGGTTATTATTGGTAAATTAAGTTTTAACCATCAGTCAACATGCTCCATGGGAATGCTCATTATTTGAAGTGGGAGGGCTTGTCTGTTTTTATCTGTGAGTTTAAATGTGAAACGTGAGCAGTTCACAGCTGGACAACAGTCAGCATGCTGGGCTTTCTGATACTGGTGTGGATATGCATCTTCATCTTGTTCCTCTTCATCCAGATCCCGAGGCCAAAGAACTTTCCTCCAGGACCTCGTCCTCTGCCATTATTTGGGAATTTGCTTGAGCTAAACATCAATAATCCTTTGAAGGATTTCGAGAGGGTATAGTATTACATTATCATTCTCATTCGTTTTAAAATATAAATAAATATATTTTAAGAATACCCATACAACTGTCAAGAGTTATCTGTTTAAAACATCTGGTAATGTATTGCATAATGAGCAGCCCCATGTGATGTCTTAACTCTAAGCTGGCAGATCGCTATGGAAAAGTTTACAGCCTGTACCTTGGATCAAAACCTTGGATAGTTCTTAACGGTTTCGAGGTTTTGAAGGAAGCTCTTGTTACTAAGGCTGTGGACTTTGCAGGACGTCCTCAGGACCTCATGGTCAACCATATTACAAAGGGAAGCGGTAAATCTTCTTCCAAATCAACCTTTACTCTTACACCGGTGTACACAATACGGTTAATCAGTATGCTTTTGAGGTTCACTCAGTCTCCCCTTTTTACAGAGTTCACAGAGCAATTTTCATCCTTATCTGAGATTGCAACGAGTACCATTTAGCACATAAATGACAGTTATTTATTATCGCAGGTATCATTTTGTCTGACTATGGCCAATCTTGGAAAGAACACAGACGCTTTGCTTTGATGACCCTGAGAAACTTTGGCCTGGGGAAGCTGTCGATGGAGGAGAGAATTCTGGGAGAGGTTTCACATATTACTGCTAAATTGGAAAAACTAGTTGGTAATAATGTACTCAATCTCATTTTCGTTGTCTCAAAACAAACTCACACAAGAGCTTGAGTTGACTTTCCTATCAATGTACTTGCAGGAAAGTCCTTTGACCCTCAGACTATGTTCCACAATGCTTCATCAAATATCATTTGCATTGTTCTGTTTGGATCCCGTTATGATTATGAAGACGAATTCCTCAAGCTTTTTATTCACCTCTATACAGAGAATGCAAAGATTACAAATGGACCGTGGGCCTTGGTGAGGCATTTTATCACTTCATCTTTTAAGGGTTTATATTCCCCAAGACATTTTAAATTAAAATATTTTCTGTAGTTTTTTTTTAATTTTTAAGAAGAATTTTCTCTATTCTATTGCAGATATACGATACATTTCCAATGGTGAGATTTCTGCCTCTACCCTTCAAGAAGGCCTTCAAAAATGCCAGAAAAGCCAGAGAATTGTCAGCACAACTGGTCAATGAACACAAAAAGACAAGAGTCCCAGGAGAGCCAAGAGACTTCATTGACTGCTATATGGATGAGCTTGATAAGGTGCTTGCACATCTGTAATGGTATTTTTTTTTAGGAATACGCAATATATCGGTACCATATTGGTTATTGCCAATATTAGAGATTTTTAAAATGTATTAGTATTGATTGATATTGGATATTTAATGGCACATCATTTACTCTATTTTTCCATTTACATTACCTTTGCCATTATCTAATGATTACTGAGGATACATCTACACTATCTAAACATCTAAACTACGCTTTTTGAAAATGCTCTCCAGTCTCCAAAGTGGATACATTTGAAACGCAGTTTTTGCGTTATAGTGTTAGTTTGGACACGAGCATGCATGTTCAGTCATGTGACGCATATTGTACCGACATGTTTATATCGGTATGTGCAATCTGCTATTCACTTTCACAATGTTGCTAAAGAGACATGTTACTTTGTAAAATCTTCATATTACATTCCTGCCAAGATAAATGTATTCTCAATTGCTGTCCTGTGTTAAAACATGAGGGCAATTGCGTTTTAGAACAAACTTAGAGTGGTGAATGAGTGTGACCTGCACGCGTAAGTAGTGTGAGATATTTTGCTAATAGTGATTGTGCCGGAAGAATAACATGAGAACTTTCTTATGTCTGGTCTTTTGTTATCATCTCAGTGAGCTTTTGCATTTTGCTTGATTTAAGCATCTTCCGACATTTAAATGTGGACGAGAAACCTTTAGAAAACGGTTGAAACGCTAGTGTGGATGGAGAGCGTTTTGAAACAAAAACACAGTTTTCAAATGTACCTCGATTAATGTAGACAGCCTTGAAGTCAGGGACCTTTTACACAACACTGTTTTCAACTAAAAACGGAAACCTTTTTATGCATTTTGGCCATTCTTTTACATGACAACAGCGTTTTGTGGGCCTGAAAATGTTTCAAAGTGCAAGTTGTAAACTACAAAAACGCGAATTTGTGAAAACGGTGACTTTTAATGTTAGTGCATCCCTATTTTACCTGAATTACAAAGTTGTTTGTATTAATCTCTAATCAGTGGTATTTTAATTTCACTAGAGAGGAAACGATGGATCCTCGTTTACTGAAGCTCAACTTATCCTGTACATTCTGGATTTGCACTTTGCAGGGACTGATAGCACGTCAAACACGCTCCTCACTGCATTTCTCTACCTCATGAACCACCCAGAGGTCCAAGGTTTGTGTTTTGGTTATTTAATGCATTTTAATTAATTCAACCATTGCTTTAGCTTAAAATAGCTTTTATTCCACCAGCAAAATGTCAGCGAGAGATTGATGATGTTCTGGGGGATAAAGATCATGCATCGTATGAAGACAGACATGATATGCCGTACACACAGGCTGTGATTCATGAAGTTCAGCGCGTCGCTAACACTGTACCGCTAAGTGTTTTTCACTGCACCACCAAAGACACTGAGCTGATGGGCTACAACATCCCGAAGGTGAGGAAACCATATACAAGTTATGAGTTTTAAGCCTTTAAAATCATAACTTTGTTTCCTTTTCTTCTCTAGGGAACTTTTGTTATTCCCAACCTCACTTCTGTACTAAAAGAAGAAGGCCAGTGGAAGTTTCCTCATGAATTCAACCCAGACAACTTCCTGAATGAGCAGGGCCAGTTTGAGAAGCCTGAGGCCTTTATGCCTTTTTCTGCAGGTAAACAATTTAGAATCGTATACAGGTACACTGTAAAAAATAATCGTGATTTTAACGGTAAAAGACTGTAAAATGCTACAGTGCAAAACTGTTAATTAGTTAACAGAAAGTTTCCGTACAATATACTGTAAATAACTGTGATACAGTAGGTACATTTAATATAATTTTACTGTAAAAAACTGTAAAATTTACAATTTTTGAAAGTGAATAAGAACAACTAATTGCATAATTTACAGTGAAAAACCGTAGATTGACACTCACAAATCCCTGTGTGACACTTCACTTTTTTTGCATTTTTGTTGAAATAACAATGGTTCCTCAAAGTTTTATTGTCTTTTTTCTAATCAGTTGTTACATTTAACATTGTTAAATTAATGTTCATTGCATTTTTTGTAATCTCATGTGCATTACCATGATGGTGTTTAATGTTTGTGTGAATGAAAATGTGCAGCCTCTTTAAATATGTATTAGCTTACTTATGGACACATTATGATGAGCGTCAATTCATCATTCAACTCGCATCACTGCGGTGAAGATTGTTGGTTGTCAGTGTATTACAATGGTACAAAACAGATATCAATTTGGTAACGCAGGTAAATTAACATTATATCAGATAAAGAAATACGGTTAATTGCTGTACATTTTAAGTTAAGTCTGTAAAACCAATAACGATGCTACCGTATTTTTGATGGTAAAGTTCTGGCAACCACAGCTGCCGTTTTTTTACCGTAAAAATTATGGTTTTATTTTTTACAGTGTAGTTTTTTTTTTGTTTTGTTTTTTTTACAGTGTAGTAGTAATTCGTATATATGCAAATATATGGTGTACAGGTCCCCGTGTGTGTCTTGGTGAGGGTCTTGCACGTATGGAGCTCTTCCTGGTCATGGTGACTCTGTTACGCAGCTTCCAGTTTGTGTGGCCCAATGATGCCGGGGAACCAGATTACACCCCAGTGTACGGGGTCACCCTCACCCCCAAACCCTACAGGATGCACATCAAGTGCAGACAGACAGTCAAATTATAATTTGTTCTGTTGCAAAAGATGATTTGATGTTATTATTTTAATAACAGTATGTAATATGACTGGTCATAATATATAGTACTTTTTTTTTTTTTTAAAGGTAATAAAAACAATCGCAATGCATCTTAAGACAGTCCTTAAATAAAAAACTTTTACAAAATAGTTGGCTCATCTTGTCTGAATGTGTACCAGAGTGGTTTTATTTTGTTCACTTAATCATTTGTAGGGTTATAATCATTGTTGAAATCTAAAAATGAAAAGACTGTCACTCCAGTCTTCAGTGTCACGTGATTCTTCAGAAATCATTTTAATATACTAATTTGTTCTCAAGAAACATTTAATGTTGAAAACAAATTTGCGCTATCATATTTTTGTGGACATCATGATACATTTTTTCAGGATTCTTTGATGAATATAAAGTTAAAAAGAACAGTATTTATTTGAAACAGAAATCTTTTGTACCCCCGGTTTCACAAACCAGGCGTGAGCTAGTCCCAGACTAAAATGCATGTTTGAACTTTTAACTGAAAGCAACTTGTCAGTGCTATTGTTTTGTCTCAAGATGCACACCAGTATACTGTGAAGGGATTTGTATTTAATTGCAGTTGAATGCAAATTCAGGTGAATGCAGAAACGCAGAATTTTGAGCAGTGCTTGTTTGTCTGGGATCATTTTATCTTTCTGGAACACTGCCAATATTTGATCAGATATAGGAGACCTACCGAGAGATTGAGTGGTTTGAGTTCACAAGCTTGTTTTCCTCGAGACCGAGAGACAACAGCTGGACATCAGTCAGCATGCTGGGATCTTTGATTCTCCTGTGGATATGCATCTTCTTCATCTTCCTCCTAGTCCGGATCCAAAGGCCGAAGAATTTTCCTCCAGGACCTCGTCCTTTGCCAGTTTTTGGGAATCTGCTTCATGTGAACATGGCCAATCCTTTGAAGGATTTGGAAAGAGTATGGCTTTATTTTATGTCATCTTAAGTTTAAACATTTCTTTTTTTACTTGTTTGTAAAATAATGTTATTTTTTTTTAGTTTGCAGAACGATATGGGAATATTTTCAGTCTGTATACTGGATCAAGACCAGCAGTTTTTCTGAATAGTTTTAAGGTTATCAAGGAAGCTCTGGTGACAAAGGCTCAAGACTTCTCAGGACGGCCTCAAGACTTCATGATCAGTCATATCTCGGAAAATAGAGGTAACTCCAACTACAAGCTGTCTCAGCTAAGTAAATAACAGTCTAGCGACAGTTCAGTAAAGAGTGACTTACATATTAGTTAGACACAATGACTCTTTTGCTGCGCCAGCGAAAATACTTCCAACTGTACTGCATAAACAACTTGCCCCGCTCCTGTATCACTCCGCGTCGCATAAGCATGCACAGAGATTTAAAGAGTCAGTCCACAAGGTATTACGCACGCACGCGCGCAACGCAACACAACAGGACTAATTAAAAGTACAGTTTACATCAGGATCAGGAGCACAATCCCCTCGATTTCACAGACAAGATTCAGGACTAGACCCAGACTAAAATGCATGTTTGAACTGTTTGAACTGAAAGAAACCTGCACTGGCACCTGTCAATTCCATTGTTTTGTCTCGAGATGCACACCAGTAGCCTAATGATTTTTTCTAAGGCATGTTTATAAAAGCTAATTAAATATTCTAAATGAAAACTAAGGCCAATTCCTGGCTTAATCTAAGCCTTGTATGTGAAACAAGGTCTACATGTTATAATATGAAATAAATAAGCTGTTGGAATATCTTTAGTGCTAGAAACCCTACAACATTTAACTATAACATAATTTTACTAAAGGTGTTGTATTGGCTAACTATGGCCCCCTTTGGAAGGATCATCGACGCTTTGCTTTGATGACCATGAGGAACTTTGGCCTGGGGAAGCAGTCCATGGAGGAGAGAATTCTGGGAGAGATTTCACACATTGTTGCTTACTTAAACAAAAATGCTGGTATTTATTTATATGTGTTTTTTAAAAAGTTTTGATCGACAAGATGAAGATAATGCGATTTATTTATTTATGTATTTATTTTATACATCAGCTGACAAGGAAAATGTCAATCTTTTTAATTGATTTTCATTTGTACAGGAGGAACTGTGAATCCTCAAAATATGTTCCACCAACTTGCATCAAATGTTATCGGCTTGGTTCTGTCCGGATCCCGTTTTGATTACAACAATACATTCCTCCAGAGCTTCGTTCAGCTCTTTACAGAGATTGCAAAGATCCTCAATGGACCATGGAACATGGTAAGATTTTAGATCCATTAAATTTTCTATAAAGCCAATGATTAAACTATGATGTTACCTGCTATTGCTAATCAGAGGAAGTTGGTACAGTTGGCTAATAGGGGGAGGGACATTCTCATTCTAGAGAGCATCTGATTGGACAAAATTATGTATAGTGCAGTATGAGTCATGAATGTATAATTGGTCTTTTTCTGTCAAATTTAAGCCTGTATAACTTCTAAATATGTATTTTCGTCAACATCTAGAGATTTCACATCTAGCACAGATTTCACTATTGTAGGCTACTCTGATTCTGTAAGTGAAAGTAAATCATATGAAAATATATTTAAAGCACTTTTTACTCAGGTATAAAGAGTGATACATTTCTAAATGCTTTATTTTTGGGGGATAGGATCATAACTGTATTATTTATGTGGTGAATCACTGCTTTTGAATGTAAGGGTTTCAGCTCTTGTGTTCACACATTTCAAATGATTCCAGATCTGCTATTGATTAGTAGATATAAAACTCCTTACTGGCTGTACTCCAGGCAGTATGTCAATAAATTATTACAACAATTAATGCTTATGTCTTTTTCATTAATTGTTCTGTACCACTGTGATCATTTGTGTATGCATTTCAACGCATTTCTATTAACATCCTCGCGGGTTTAACTCTCAAAAACGAGATCAATGACCAAATTACAAACAAAACAAAAAAACAAATCTTCTTAGTGAATAAAAAACACTGGGTTTTAAGAACAAAAAAAAAAAATCTTCAGTGTTTTATTTATTTTTAAAACGGCTTTACGAACAACAACAAAACTCTTATTAGTGAATCAAAAACAACGGATTTTACGAACTAAAGCACAACGAGCGACTCTTGAGAGTCGTTTCTTTTAATGGAATTGTTCAAAAGGCGAGTTGCAATTTTAAACCAGCCTAACGAATTGTTCGCTAAACAATCTGAAAGACTACATGTGTCGTTTGAAATCGTAATTGGCAACAGATGATGTATGATATAATTTATATTCTTTTATTCCATACAAAGAATAAAACTAATCTTGAATTAATCCGGCCACATCATGGATCAAGATTGTTACACAATACCAGAGGTTTAACAAGAAAAGGTTTACACAAAACAGCAAATGGACTGTTTTTTGCTAGATCCTCTATTAATGCATTATAAAAAGAAACCAGATTATTATTATTTTTTTGAATATATTTTTGATCTCAAAACTATTTTAAATTTAACATACAAAGAAGTGCGAAAATCTGGCCCCTGATAAAATGCTAAATCCTTTCAAATGGAAACATGATTATCTTCCCCCCCAAAATACTGATGTTAAATCCTAGTGATACTGTATTTTCGAACTAATGGGGAAAAGGAGAAGATAAACCAAAAATACAATGAGAGGTTAAGGTTATGTACATCAAGTGTAAGTTGAAAACATGATTATGTGACATGACAAAGTATCAAATCACGCCAATATACTCATGCAGTGTTTTCAAACTCTTAGAACAGATGTGTCAAATTTTACACAATATGTGTTGTCCCTGAGCTGATTCAGCACATGTGTTAAAATTTAACACATTATGTGTGAGTGCACTTACTCTTTTCATGAAGAGCCTCGATGGAGGGCGTTTCCGTCTCCTCATCCACATCTCCGTAGTGCAGGACTTTGAGATTAGGAGAGAGACGACAATACCACAGCTTGTCTGAAAAACAAACAAAAAAAATGACTGAAGGACCTGAAAATCATTTTCTGATGCCTTCCTCAGAGGATCATGGTGTCTTACCTTGCCTCGCGTCCCGTGACACAGACGGTTTAGTCTCTGCTGTCTGATGAGTTCCAGAAGCTCCGGCTTCAGACGTTCCTTCAGCTCACTGGACACAAAGACAACAAGAAAACTCATGTGATGGAGTGACATCAGAGCCGTCATTTTTGAAACACTGTTTTATAACTTTTGAAAAACATTTGTTTCTATCTGGATCTATTAGTTTATTTTAAAAAAAAAATGTTTAAAACACAATTCATAGATCCAATGATTTGAATACAACTCTTGTGATAAGCATGTTAATTTCTGAATGAAACATTTTGTTATTGAAATGAATGAACTAAAATGATTGTTTTTGTAAAGCTGAAATAAAGCTTTACATTAAAAATGTACACTTGAAAAACAAACTAATTAGAAAAAGTGCCTTGACAACTAACTGACAATAAGTGGAAGTTGAAGTAAGTTAATACAACGCCAAAACTTCTCCAAAGTCAACAACTGAAATATCTCATAATTTGCGGCAGCTCCTGTGGCTCACCGATTAGAAAGTTTAGTGTTTGGGTGGTAGACCAATCGGTGGCCTGTAATTTGTGGTGAATGGCCTGGCAGCGAGTGGAAGTGCTGGGAATGGCGATGAAAGTGCAGAAGGGAAGGTCACTGGGGGTTTGAGGTTCTTTCTAAACTTTAAGTACCATTCAGAGTCACACAATGGGTTCATTCATTTTAAACTAGTTATCTGATGGTTTAGAAAACCCAAATGAGAGTTTCCCTGACAATGGCTGGGTCCTCAAGACAATAACACATTCTGTTAGGACATCCTAAACAATGGGATCAAAGCCTCTGAAGACACTGAACATGCTCAGCATTTGTCCACCCGATGTTTCGACTGGGTAGACGGCAATAACAGCTTATTCAAAACAATTGGGAATGAACTAATTGGTTATGATTTGTACGCAACAGAAATTCCTTGATCATATAGACCAAAAGAAGTTCAGTTACAAATGTGTTACAAGATATTTTGCATCTATAATATAAGAAACTTTTATAATAAGAAACTTATTTATAACAATAGGGGATTATCACACTTCCGGGTTTCATGGGCGGGATTCGTCAACTTTGTGCATGTCCACTTCCGACGCAGTTCAACAATACCTGAGACGAATGCTATTTATGTCACTACTCTGTTCCACTTGTATGTGCCCGGCATCTGAATGGCAATCTTTACTATATCCTTTTGCTGCGGCATTTTGAGAGACGAGCGTCTACAACTCTGAAAGAGAGATAAGGGGTAGAAATGCAGATAATAAATACTAAAAAATGATGTACTAGTATTCAAACACTTAATGGTCTGTAAAGCTTGAAACGGTACCAACCTAACAAGTATACTGACATTTCAAAACATACCAAATGCCACAAAGGGTGATATGTACAGGGACACTAAATAGGTCACTAATTCTATTTCAGGTTGACTCTGTTTTCTGTGTTCTTCCTCTTTTAAAGAAGAACTTGTGTGTCTCTCTGTTGTGCTTTATATTACTTTAACTCGGCATTCTGGGATTAATAGTGTACTAATATGTGCTCTCGTTTTTTACGTCCTGGACCATTTCACAAGATGTAAACAACACTGGTCCAGAAGCACTTCCTGTTTCAGTTTTTTAACACTATACAAAAAATCTGGGATAAAATACAACCAACAGAACATTTAAAACTGAATAAAAAGTTAAACATCTTTAAGATGTTTTGTTTACATGTGAAATAAAGAAAACAGTTACAAACTGAAACAGGAAGTGCTTCTGGACCAGTGTTGTTTACGTCTTGTGAAATGGTCTATACGACCTGGAGTGCATCTGTTTGCATGCAAACAATAAAAACTATGCATTTTTAGCAGGCGCTGTCCATCTCGCGCGTGCGATACTCAAAACATATAACGTTAGCTGATGACGGTGATAGTAATGATGAGCTCGTCTCGTGCTTACAGCTTTCAGATCCAGCACTCCGTCCTTCGCAGAGTCACACATTTTAGTCGTGAGGAGCCCAAACTTTTCTCGTGGCGACTGGGGGGGGGGGGTTTCTGCGCTGCAGCGAATCTCCCATCGCACCCAGTTTCGTTTCTTCCGGTCTCTAAAGCCATTCAAGTTGCTTTTAAAGTATTTAGCAAATCCCCCCCAGTGTCTGCCCGCCGTCGGTTTATATTTGTATAGTGAACGCTTTCTTGTTATATCGCTGACAGCACCGCTTCTGCCGCCCAAACGCTCGCTTCCCGTCACCGGCCGGTAATTCCGGGGAAGTTCACCTCGAAATGAGAGAGTTAAGCCCCCGTTCAGGGTCCGGTCCGATTCAGGACACAGGTTACCCGAACCCAGATGGCCTAACAAGAACAGACGCTCTCACAAGCACCAGATCTGAGCTAACGTTACTTGAATGACTGAAGCGTTGACGGCGCGGTGCATCATGGATGACCTGCTAAAAATGGGAAGCTC